CTTAATTAAACCCCCCCCCCCCCCCCCCCCCCCCCCCCCGGCTTGAAGACTGTCATCTACGTGTCATGTAAACGCAATTAAGGCATTTAACACGAAACGCGTGAAACTATTTTTTAGGATTTTTTTCAGATTCACCTCCGATCTTTTACCTTGCATGAGGGTTCATGTACGTGCCAGGTAGGATAATTAGGGATTGGTTCGCCATTTATAATCTGTAAGAACAGCAGCTAGCAATAAAAAGTGACAAGGGAGAAGCGCCCTATCGGATGTTTACCGTTCACTGTCTGAAATGACAAGAGCGCTTAATTAATTTACAACCTCGTGGGTTTAATCAACAGGGATTCACTTAAAGCTTAAAACGAACACGCATCAACACCGATTCTTTTGAACATAGCTCCTGTCTGTGACCACTCGTGTGCTCGCATTTTGATAGTTCACACTGTTCTGTCTTATCCGACTTTACCATTCGACACTCACTGCCTCACAAACCATACATTGTACTTGGCGAATCGCTTTAATCCTAGGCGATTGTATTCACCGGATGGTATGGCTAGGTAACCGTTTGTGACACATAGGGCTGACAAATGCTAAGGTCTACAAGGTACACAAGGAGGCAAACGCTGGAGAGCGCGCTTAATGCAGCAGGAAGTGAGAGATTTCATCTACAGCAGTGCAGATGTTATATTGGAAGTGCCAAAAACGCATGGACATGGCGCGACGCTGTGAGATTCGTGTACAGCGGCGTACAAGGTGATGGGGCGGCAGAGGGCGAAGGTCGTGTGCACAAAACACGAATTATAAAAACAAAAGGGCCGTTATACCATACAAGTGTATTCAAGATAAATCCCAGCAATAAGAAAAGATTTCCAACACGCGTTTGGCGTGGTAGGCGAATCCCGGGTCAATTGTGATGGTTGGGACTTAAGGAAATCAGGGAAACGTTCAACGGAAGAAACTATCCTTTGAAAGAATACTTGTCCAACAGGAAATTTGGATAACGTTTGGGAGACTAACGAATCTTGATCTGAGCTGAAACAGCCATTTGCGATGCTGAATACAGCCATACTATGGCATTAACAAATTACAATTACAATTTGCTAAACAAGGGCGTCATTAATAAGTATTTTGATTGAAATTAGCCACTTGAGACTTCAGTCATACCTTGATGCGACCCCCAAGGAAATGACACCACATGGCACGTTAATGTCCGCCTCGATTGTATGGCTGGTCTAAAGACATATAAAACCGAACCGAAGTTATGGTTCTTTGAACTATAGGCTATTTTCCCACACGAAGGTCAAAAGTAATTGGCGACTAACACCTACGCGAATTTAAGCGCGAATTTAGTTGTACTGATTTGGCTAAGTCAAATTTCAACGAGAAGGCCGAATCACGCGATTAAGCGCACTCACTGTGTCATGGGGAAAAGGCTGAAGGCTGGCAGAATTGCACTCTCGAGTCAAATGAACACAGGGGAGGGGACACAACCAGAAAAAAGGTAATTTCATCTTTTGAATAGACGGTCCCACACGAAGGCTCGTCTCCCACTGTCTGTCACCTTACTTTGGGCGCGTGCGTGTGGCAGGGCATCGAGGCTGCCGCAATGCGTCTTCAGACCCTCGCACCCGCCACGCCCAAGTCCCTCACCGAGCACACCGTGTCCGGCCTTTCGGTGTCAAAATGGGAGAAAAAGGCCTGTTCACGCGCTGCGTCAGTTTGAGGATGGACAACTTGCCGTATTCTGTGTCCAGTCGAGCAAGGAAACGGCTGAGGGGCCATTCGTGAGACTCTTAAATCGCTTAAAATTCTTGACTCTATCGAGTAGCCCGCAGACAGTCCATTAGATATCGGGGAGAAGACCTTTCCGGCCATCCGAATAAAACACCGCCTAACCTATCCCAAACCTTAAAATTTTGTTTGTAAAACAGCCGACACTCCTTAAGGCTACGTATTTCTCTTTTTCGAAACTCATGACAGCAATAAACAAATGAGCCAACTTAAAAACGAGACTTAACCATGGAATTTAATTTGTAGTGAGACATAAGAATTATACATGTGTGTAAGATAAAGCAGCACTGACAACTTGGTTTAACCTGAAATTATGCAAATTGCAACACAACATCAACGGCTAACAGCACAACTTCCAATCTGATAAGAAATGTCGCATGACAATTTCCTTACAAATAAGGACATAATAACCCACCAATACAATTTACTCCGACTTCCAGAAGTGTTTTTAAATAAGAATTTATTGCAGGTGGAAGCGAAAATAGTAATAAAATGGTGGTCGGCAATTTGTGAGGGGTATAAGCGAGACAGCCAACCAATTCCAATCAAGTGCAAGCTTAAGTTTACTGTCTGGTGCCCAAACACATCGGCACGTATAAGAGTGGGAGCAACCATACCTGAAGATATTTAGGTTGCGAAAAAAAGACTCATGAAGATGACGGGAGGACTATTCGAATGTGCACGACCTATTTGTATTTAGGGATGACAAGTAGAGTACCATACTACTTCGCCGACTTTAGGGAATCCGATTAGCGCGTTGACTGTGACAGGGGAATCACCTAATAAAATAATGACAATAAGTGCACGATATTAAACTATTCGGCCGACGGCACCCAACTTTATTTGGTACACGCGCAAGTAAAATATTTTGCGAATGAATAACCCAATTCGCTTGCTTCTCCAATGCAAAAGCACTTTAAGCGTGCAGTCTGGCAATCTGTCATGTTTGTTAAGCATGCGTGGCTTAAACACCACGTGCTCGTGACTTAAAAATGCATCCTGGACCTCAGAAAAGTCTACTGCTATTGTCTTAAGATGCATGACACATTTTGTAGTCCATCAGCAGGCGTGACATTAAAAAAAAGTCAAGATATGTCACCAAGCCACGTATTCGAAATCTTAATCGCTACCCATTATGGTTGCAGCATTTAGGATCAGACATTAAAGAGCATCACTGCGTCAGGCTTCTCAAACTGCTGAATCAAAATAAATGGCTCCTTTTTAAAGGCTCGATCGTCCGTTTGTACAGAAGACCCCTTCGGTTGACTATATCATCAAATTTTGCAGTTCTACGAGGCGGAATATAAGTAAAGCACACAATCTGCAACTCACAAATATGATTTTTCCTCGGGATAGGAGAGGGCTTGAGTGAGGTTTCTTTGTTTTCTACCGGACTGCATCTTCAGACACCCAGTAATAGGGGTTTGCTGAGATAACCGAGAAAGACCGGGAGGACTGGGCATCGGTGGCTGGTGGAGAAGAGCTGAAGAGGAGTTGGAAGAGCCACAAAAGACACCCGTGGATGTCGAAGGTGAGGCATTTGAAAGCGCAGAATAGGCAACGTTTATTGAGGAGCCTTGTACCTGGTTCAGTTGGGAGTGGTGAAGATGTTGTTGGAGGTTATTGCTCGCGGTGGAAGACGTCCACAATGGCAGGACCTGATAACAATTCGGTTAGCCGTTACGAGGTTACAAACAAGATAAGGGCAATACTGAACGATGCTGTTGCATGATACTTTTGTGTGGGTTGTATTCTGATCAGGCAAGGACAAGCGATCCAAATAGATTTCCCTACATTAGTCAAGGGTTCAGAAGCCGATTAAGGAGTATTAAAAAAGTAAGTTTGCCTGATGTTGCCCCTGCGCGTTAACGTAAGATAACTTCAAGTCGATTCGCCAATATTAATTCGTTCAGATAAGAAGAGATAGCTTGGCTATTAAACCAGGTTGTATTTTGCCACTTGGAGTCTTTGAAAGAAGAAAAAAACGACTCTTTGACCTTTTGCTGGAACAGGGTAGGACATTCCTATTACGTAACATCACCATGGCCCCTCCCAAATGCACTAATAGTTTTCAATTACTACAAATAAACCGTTCAAGTGGGCTTCCACTAGTCCAAGGGACACGAGGACCCCCAACAACCAGCTTCGATTGAAATGGGTGCGCTGTGGGTTTACAAAAATCATCCCCAGATCTAGTAAACGTGCCTTTAGGCTTCGTTAAATGAAATACGCACTGTTTCCGTCATGTTGTGCAAAAAAGTATTCAGACTACGAAATAATGCACTCTGTACTGCTCATGAGAAATCTCATACGTGGCTGGTCAACAACACCAAAGATTTTACTACATGATCGTCTTCGCTGGAATTTATTGACATCAGATCTACGAAGGCCTACTGATCTAATTTGAGTGACGAGTCAATCCGTGAACTCCAAGCCATCGATTCAGCATTATATCAGACAGCGTAGGAAAAAGTTAGTTTAGCAGTTAGGTTTTCTTGGTAAGCGATTGAAAATGGGTCGTTACTCGTCAAATAGTCACGAAATAATACACGGTATCCGGGAGTGAAGTAAACTACTAAGCCCAGGACTTAAGTATCAGATAAGTACATAGCGAGAGTAGTTAGAATTAGGCGCAAGCCTAATTCAAATAGATAGCTGATTCGTAGCTACTAAAAAAAGTTTGAGTTCACTGATAAATAATGCTATGTATTTCTGGTTTAAACAAGGGGTATTAATTTCACTGGTCTATCCGATATATGAGAGGTGGAAGTGGGCAAGCAGGAAAAGTCTAAAGGACTAGAACACTGCCACATTATATGTCACTTATACCTCGAGCAGGTACTTATGCGCATAAACCATACAGAACGTACAGAAGTTAAATCAACTGAAACATTTATACTCAGTTTCCGTCTACAAACGGATGTAATGAAGGAAAACCAATCTGAGGTAAAACATTTTAGCAAACCCTGCCAGCTACTGCGTTAAGTACACACATTATTAAAGTGGTCAAGGATTTTGCGAATGCTACTGTGTGCTAGAATTATATCAACTCAAATGGGTGGAAGGAAAAAGTATTTGAGATCCAAGTTATCCGTGTCTAAGCACAAAGCTTGTGCTGAAAAGACACCAAAAGTGTCTTAAGTATTCCGCTCAAGTTTTAACAATGTAGAACGAGATGATGTATTTCATCGCACTTCGCGGCATCAAAATGTCTAATTAAAACTTGTCCTATTCAGGGATAAAAAACACCTTTAGCAATTTACGTTACATTGAGAACTCACCAAAAGTACAGAACGGTGTCAGCTGAACTAGACTTCATAAAGCTTGCATTTGGTATAGTATGTGCATAGATAGATGTATCCTTATTTTACATCACTAAATTCAAAAAAGTTGATCATTTAAAGCTAGCAACAATGAACGTGAATACAAAAAAGGCAGTAAGAGGCACGGTTCGCCTGCCAATACTCGAACGGGTCACTGGGAGGTTGATAAACATTCTTGTACGTTTTAGGAGAGCCACGCTTCTTCCCCCACATTGCCAATACATCGCCTGGCTAAGTGGCCACATAAGTGGCAAGCAGATGGCGCGTTGTTAGAGTGACGCGAGTCACAGAATTTCTAACTAGGAGCAAAAATGAGAGCCAGAGGAGTTGTGGCTTCACCCTTTCACCCTGGTTGCAATCAACGAGGGAGGGTTTAGATTATTATCCAATGAAATGTCGTCGCAATTCCAAAAACATCATTCAGGTAGAGGTATGGAGAGACTCAAGAACGTGTGATGAAAGCAGATCAAGAACAAAGCTACAGCAGAGCCCAAATATGAAACAAGTTGACACCTTGGGATTTGTGTGTAAGTCGACAGCCCATCTGGCGCAGACCAGATAGGGAAGTGCCTTGCAGTGGACACATGTCCCTTCTTTTTACTGGCCACAGCAGATAATAGAGCAAAGGAAACGTGTCAGCTAAGTAGTAATATGCTGAACTGAGGCAAATTATATTTATAAAAAGTATCAAGTTCGTGTTGTAAGGTGCCCTTGACAGATTCACGAGAGTAGATGTGCTATTGTTACCACACGTTCAAGATCGCGTGTTAACCACATCTACAATGTTCACGTGAACAAATAAGGTCACTGTTTCGGGAAAACAAATCGGGGTATATGCAACTTAGCGGCATTTAATGCACAGGTTTGAGATAACCTACAGTAGATTATAAAGTGACGCAGCTACAGCCTCGGTCCGTTATCATCTTTATCAGCCTGATAATGTCTTGAATGTGCATGATTGTGTGGAAAACATGAAGGGCCTTGTGACAAATGAACCGAAGAAGATACTCGTTGAATTAGAAGAACTGGCAAACAGTCCGGCTCGGAACGTGTTAGAGGAAACGACACCTCGGCTTACAGAATGATTAACGGGTATTGGAATGCTGGCCTGATGATTGCGATGGAGTTGGGCGTTGAACCGGTCGAGGGAGGAACTGATGAGATCGAGGATATCCTCTTCGTCCCCACTGCCCGCCTGTTCGGAGAATCCGGCGGAGGACGCGCCGGAGTGCGCAGCGGCACCGCCTCCGGTTTGCACGGCAAACGCAGACAAGGCATCACTGTTGGCCGCGGGCCACTGAGACTGAAATATCTGAGTCTTCGCATCCGTGGGTTGCAAGGCAAAGCTTTCACCTGAGTTCTCAGGGGGACAAAAATCCGACTAAAATAAACAGGACAACAAAATAACTTTGGCTGAGATACCCTCAAGTTAACGTTACATCAGAATGTTTTGTCTTTCTCAACTGAAATCTTATGAGGTGTGTTACAGTGGACTGTGGAATGGCATGCACTGATTGTTCTAAATTTGGTCTTTTGTGGTTTAGGAACTAATGGAAAAAGCCTATCTGGAACTTTTGTATTAGTTGGGACAAGTTACCGCGCAATCAAAATTGACGCGTAAGCGAAAGTGTACAGGGATAACTCAATGTTAAAAAACGGGCAGCTTGTTTACGGCGATGGCTGGCAGCATTTGCACTAGCTACAGGACAGAATGCGCCGGTTGGTTAGTTCAAGGCCACGTGTCCGCGCTAACTCATCAGCGTATTTAGTCGAACCAAAAAAAATCAAAATTCTGGAATTGTTCGTGGAATATAACTTTGATAACATACCTAATTCAAAAAAATAGGACTTCGAATCGGGTTAGATAACTGAGAAGGGCCCGTGGTGATATTGCAGTTCAGGATTAAAATACAATGTGCTTGAAGAGTTGCTATTTTAGTGACAACGACAGGCATGGAGTGTGTTCGTTACTGGTGCGTAGGACTTCGGGTTGGCTTAAATAGATCCACGCACTTTGTTCCCAGAAAATCGTAATTTTAGTTCCAGTGGAGGGTGAATTAGATAATGGCACAAATCTTTTAACGTTCTCCTCCACTCCTCTTTAAATCAGTGCAATTATTTAAAAGCGCAGTCTTAGTAATGGTGCATTAGCAAACGACAGATTGCGAGGCATTGGGGCTGTCGCCACCACACTATGAACCAGCTGGCACGCGACTCTAGCGTAGATTAACCCTCGTTTAATTGAGTCTCAAAAAACTACCTTTGACAGTCCGGTCCACGGCAGTGTGCACAGCTCCCGAACACGTAGGGTCACATTCTGAGGGACAGAGCAAATCATTCAATTGCCTTCGATTAGGCACATTGAGGGAGAAATCCCACTGCTCTTAAAAACATTTGGGAGCATTCACTTGCCTGTCCGGTAAATTGGGGGGAGAGTGTGTCTAGTGTTGTAAAACGTCTCAATTTCAAATGGACACCAGAACTGTACCAAATAACAGTAGGCATTCAGTGTCATCAAATAATTCAGCCAACCATACTTAAATTTCTCAAGTACACGAACATCTAGAGAGCGTAGCCGAATAAAGAAAAAAAATTGAACTGTGAGGCCAAGTTACTGCACTACGTGAGAGTAGTGAGTTGAAAGGCCATGGCGAAAAATAAACTACATCCAGTGCAGCCGAGGGTCTTTTGTACCATAAAGTTAGTCAAGTGAAGCAGGAACGGTGTGCCAGGCCCACTTAAAACAAATTACTTGTCATTTACAGCACGAAAATTAGCTCGCGAGTAGCAAAGCGTAGAATACGTGAATTTCCGATAAGCGAGCTTCGCTTGCAGGGCAGTGTTTCGGATGTTCCTTACTTGACAGCCAAGCTTGTCCCCTATTCGGTCAATCCCTCACGCCTGTTATTTTTAACGAATCCAGAAGACAATAAGGCACGATTAGCCTAGAAAGAAACAACAGCAAGTGGGCGGGAATAGGGCATGAAATGGGTAAATCGAAAACTCGGAACCAACAAACAACGCAGTCACATTTTACAATTGGCACAAACTTAGTAATAACTCGCATCACGATAGAGCAGGCGAAGATGGCTTGGGAAAAATAAAGACCACAATTGACACTGTTGTGTAAATAATGTCACGTGATAAGGGCAATAGGCTGAGTTGGATCCAATGCCGGTGAAATATCACAGATAAGGTAGCAGCAAAGTTCAGGTAGAAAAGCGGTGCATGCAAGCTCTTCTTTCATCTATGTTGACACGTCCAAAGGTAAAAATAACCGGAGTATTTTCGCTGACAAATCCTCAATTAAATTAAAAGGCAGGAAAAAACTACGAAATCAGTTGTAGAAATGTCGAGCATTAGATAATTTGCCAGTACATTTTTTACGACATTGGTCAACATTCCCGACCATGCACCACAAATTATAAATTAATTTCACATAATCGCTTATTTTTTTCCGTTCTCTGCGCATAAAAAAGTGCATATTTTATATCAATGATTTTTAGATCATGATGTATATTAGTCTAGCAAAATTACGCCCTCATAATTTATTAGGAGATAAAGCGTCACTGTTAGTTTATACTCCCCTGTTCCAATGAGACATGATTACGAGCAAAGATAAACTCAAAATTGGATACAAAACACGATTTCGACCGACCGAGTCACAACAAATGTGCAGTTCGCTTTTCGCATTATGGATGCCAACTTGTTTTAAGCATGAGTCACCTTACCGTTTGTATCATGGACATTGGCAACCATTGATGGTCGATCGTTGCCACTTGATCCGCTGTTAATTTATTCACGGAGCTGCACCTTATTGACTTTTCGCACAGAAATGCTATTTAAAAGCAGGTCGAAATGTGCATAAGGAAAAGTCATGGTGTTGCGCCTTCCGTACGTGTCGAATGAGAACCCCGAAGGCAAGTTGCGCTCCACACTAGGCAGTCCACCCCCGCGTTCCTGCGTCCTCGGGTGGCCACGCAGAAACATAAATCGCTCGTTCATGTTAGATCACGGAAAGATAAATCAAAACACAGAGGGCATAAAACGCACGTATTCGACATGACCCCATCGTGCGCTGATGCCTATAGAAAAAGTGAGATGTGCGACCAGATCAAGAACCTGCCGCGTAGTCTGGGGGCAGTGCGTAGAATAAAAACTGTGAAATACGGCACACCAGTGTGGGCAATTGACGCAAAATAGACTCGAAGATAATAAGTCAATGACTATGAAGTCCACGTTCATTCACATTAGGGGCATATCAACGGAACTAATTGCTACGCCAAAGGAAGGGAGCCTTGGCAATCCCAAAGTCGCCTGTTTGCATGATCACAACGACCCTGCATCGAAGATTGTAATATACCCTAGTTGCCAGACGTGTTGGGGGTTGGATGCTTAGCATATAAGTGGCTTAATATGAAGAAAGGTCAAACACTAGTGCGTGTAAATCATGGAAACACGGCATAACGTTTCCTTGCCATGAATGACTTTAAGACTGATTGCCGCTGAATTTAAGGACCCGTGGCACTTGCTTTAAGAGAGTAGGAGAAACCATATGTGTCCTGGCGACCTACACTTAGATTTGATCAGGTATAATACAAAATTCTGCGAGGCGCGTTACGCCTTATGGGACCCAGACAGCAGTGGGTGAGGGAAGGTAAGTGGGACGCATAGGTTTATGCCGTAGCCTGACCGCGTGGTGGGACGAAGAAACGCCTCGGGCGTCCAACATGCAAAACAGCGCGTACGCAACAATCTCCGTTTGCACGTGGAGCGCATTCAGACGCGCGCACCCGTTAAACACCCCGACAGTACGCCACTATTGCGTGGGGCAGCACAAGCCCAAACGAACGTTGTCACAACAGACGCGTGAGCGCGCGCGCGTGCGTACGTGCACTCGCAACTGGCCCGGCAGCTCGGTGAACACGTGACTGCAGTCAGGCTCACGTGCACACGCAAACACGCGCACTTCGCATCTGCCACTGGCCCGCAAGCCCCAGCCTGGTCGTGTGTAGGCAAGGCGGTGTGAGGGCCGGGGCGTGGAACGCAGGGCAATCTTCGACCCTGACATGAGCAAGAAGCGAAAAGGAACGGTACAATGCCACGGAAGCTACTCAATAATGCACACTGATCCACTTTTTATCGGGTTAACTTATTCAGCTGACCCAATGTAGCTGTCGTATTTCATAAACATGAAGGGGACACGGTTGAGAGCGACCGGCGCTTGGTGGGTGACAAACACTCAAAGGATTACGCTCCTACTTGTTCTTAAACCACTTAGAAATGACACCGGGCAATCGAACGCAGAACAGCAAGCAACAATTAACGACAGTTCTCCAAATTAACACACTAAGGTTAACCTCAGCATGACCGGGTGCGAGACTTTAGGTCGTCTTCTTTACTGTCAACTGTGAACGCAATATAACACATTTGAAAAAAAAATAAAAGCTGTGCGGATAGTTACCACTCTTGATGCAACTAGAGCCAACTGTAATTCTGCGACCTAGACCGCTTCGATGATGAAAATGCAGAACGCAAAATGAAGACCTCTACATAAATTAGACGGCTGGCCTTTTCTATGCGAGACATTAGTAACTAGTTTACGACATAAGATAAAATTCGTCGCATACCAGCTAACATCGCTAAATAAATAAAAGATTATATCTAGACTTTAGACGAAAGAACCGTTGTGAAAAAAATTACCTTTTGGTAAATGTAACCATCCTACATTTACGGAGGCAAAGAAAGGAACTACCAAACTGTATGTTTTATGCAAGAAACGCACAGGTATCGTGTCATTCGAGGGTTTCTACGGGCCCACATGGGGATATAATTATCAAACAATGTAGATGTTTTTCTAACAAGGCAAACCAAGTCTTGTTTCACGACTTGTCAACATTTGTTGGGTAACTAGATAAAGTACAATTGGGTAAGAGCCACTTTAATTACCTAAAAAAGCATATGTTGATAAAGTTCCCAGCGGCTTCCCCAGAACTGGACCATATTTCAATTATCGAAGTTTGTAAAGACCGAGAAAGCGAAATACTGATTGTGCCGAATTGAGCATATAAATAATAAACTAAAATGTTTCATCCCAAACCTACAAATATTTTAAGGACGTTCGCTGGTGCATGTGACTACCTGCCACCGAGTTGCAAGGGTTTTTCGTTTTTTGTGACACCTACAGCCAAACGTGCGACCTGGTAACAGTGTGTTTACTGTTTGGTCACGTAATTTAGACAACTTTACGACGTAAGCCACGCAGCGCATGGTATCCTTCGGATAGGGTCCATGGAAGATTTCGATATTGCGGGATATCCACGCATTCCTGCTTAGTGTTTTCATAAATGAAGTGCCGAATAGCTCCCACTTCACATGGACAAACAAGCGAGAAAACAGCTTGTCGTCAAAGCGTAAAGCGCCCGGAGATCGCAAAGGCTTATGCATCCGAAATTTTTGAGTTGGTACGCGCAATCGACTTAAAAGCTCTAATTTCTTTGCCAGCCGTTGATTTGCATGGCGAGAAATTTTAGCCATAATCTGTACCAGTAATTCACATCAACGATGTGAGCAACCTTAGCTCGCGATTCCTGTCCCAGAGACTACCGTGTTTTGATTTTGAAAATAGTACCAAAGAAACCAACACCTTTCCAACAGAACGCCGAACAAGTTTAAGCTAACGAGATTAAGCCTGAGATTAAAAAGGGTTTGGGACAAGACGCGACCGCCATAGTGCATCTAAGGGGCTAAACCAGATTAGCCTGAAAGTAGAAGCCATTCGATTTGCATACGTGGGAGGAAACTATGCTGTTAGTTATTGTGGTGCCAGAATAAAGCAAGTGTAATATTCGGACATAACGGACTTTTGATAGGCGACGAGTTTGCCCTTTAAAATACCCCAAAGTTCCGTGAATACCTTAAATTGCTGCTCAAAAGTCGGAAAACTAGGTTGAAATTGTGCTGTGTTCTTACTTTGACGCGTACGTTGCATCCGAAAGCTAGGATTAGGACATTTAAAAGGTTCACCACTTCTAAGTCGAGGCGAAGGTTGCAGTAACCCACAGACTTTTGTTTTAGGCGACTGACGAGGTAACTAGGGTTTGGAGAAGACTGACACTGAGTCAATGCAAATTTTACAGGCCAAGCAAAATATTCAATCTTGGACGATTTGAATCAGTTTTATGCTGCTTGTCAGATAAGTCCGCCGGTTAAGAGCCGCTTGTATCTCAAGAAAATCAGGAAACACCTACCAAGTCAGGGCTTCCAAAAATTGCTTCGTCTGCAGCTCCTGTTGGCATAACTAACGAGAAAGTAGAGACGTTCGAGACAACGTATGGTAGGCGCCGAGATTAGTGAGGCGGAGAAGCAGAAAAGCGCAGATTCGGCTGGTTAGCGCATCTCTACGCTGCGGGGAGTCGAGCAGTTGGACACCCTGAGAAAGCTGGAGCAGAGCAAATAATGTAAAATCGGACACACTCCTAGTTTTATGCGATCTCGTACTGTCAAGGATGAGCAATGTGCCCAAGCTAAACTGGTTAAGTGGAGCGGACGCTCACAGTGAAGGCTAACTGATTAGCGGAAGGCTGCCTGGCTGCAGCTGAGAGAAGAAGTCTTGTGCCGAGTAGGGCTTGGTATATTCAACTAAAGATAATATCTGGCGAGAATTAGGACTGTCAACGAATCAGTCGTACCACCATGAAACGCTCACGAATACTCTAGAGTTTGAATGCATTAATTCGAATATAAGATTGCATCATGATGAATAAGTGGACGTGAAACATGTGTTTACGTGGTTCCACACCGAATTGCATCGCTTAATGTTAGGATTTAAAAGAGACAATTGACAGCATAATTGGAAAACGTGAGACAGACCAAAGAGTGCACAACAAGACAAACGGCCCATCGTGCATCGTGTAGCGAGAATCAAGGCAAAAAGCTTGCTAAACGAGTGCGTCACGTGACAACCAACATGAAATTGTGCTCCACTTGCGTTTGCCCACATACGGTGTACAGGGCTTTAAGGCGAATTGCACGCTAAAGGTTTCAAATTGGGTTAAACAAGGAGACCTAACAACAGGTGTGGAAGAAATTCACATATAATTAGTTGTGTTTTACCAACGCTACATCTAGAGACAAAAAACGGATTCAAAAGCGCCAATTCATTGAAGATTACACATGTAACAAGAAAAGGCAAAGAACAGAAACTACCAAAGCCTTTCGGGTTGTCAATCGTCAAGGTTGTCGGAATAAAGCCGATTCGGATCGACATAATTGGGTGCGAAAAATCACCCTGCGCACAAGTACCAGTTAATGTGTAGGGAGACGTGGATATAGTTAACAAGGAGATGGACAGCTGTGGACCATTGTGTCAGTGTTCAAATAAGATTTCAATATCGCCCAGCACAAAAAACGTCACTCGGGATAGTTGATTTAGAATTATACAAGTCACTTAATCAACGAAATGATCAAGTTATCAGTAGGTTCTAAAATAATAGATCTGTCTTTAATCGAGGTTGGGTGGATTACTAAACCAACCTGCAATAACTAGAAACGGAGCGAGGGCGAGACACTGTTACTAGGCCCAGTTTACTGCTCATTAACACGTATAAGCCTTTATTGACCACTTAATCCAGAACTCTATTAGTTATTAAAATAACAAGAAAGTCATCAGCTCAAATCGACTTATGGGCTCTGCATTTTTCTGGGGTTGTACAGGCACACGAAAATGCATGATTCCACAAGACTGAGGTGTCTATCCGGAAATCCGAAGCATTTGAAATAAGCGTTAGCGAGGGGTACAGCGTATTGCTTTGGCTGCTATAAACACAAGCATGAGATCAGACCTAAATAGCTAACTAAAGTTTTAAGGCTGACTGAGTATACACAGTAAATTATGGGGGAGAAAGACCAAACTAAGGAAATTATAGCCTACAGGCAGCTTCTCACCTTTCTTCGTTCTGTAATTGTAGGTTGCTTTGTTTACGAAGCTCGATTGGACAAACAGGAAAAACTAGCCCCTACACCTCATGATTGTACTGACTCCACATGAATACACATTCTGCTACCTGGTTTAGCAACTCAGATAAGTGGGTCCAAATTCCCTAGTATCAAGACTATTGGTTAATGCACAATGCTCGCAATAGCCACGGCTTGCCCTGAGTAAACTCTAAACTTGAGCATTAAAATATGTGTGGGAAAAATGCCATACTTGACAAAAAAGAGCCGGTGTAAATACTAACTGGTCTGCATTAGACAGGCAAAAAAAGTGAAAGTACACCGTGACATGCATCGTGAGTTGGGTCTGAACGACGGGTTCACTTTGCAATTTCTGAGCAGCACATTTTTTAAACAGAAAAGGTATCCATTCTGCTGCAGTTCGAAATCAGTTCAGACACAGGACAAGCGAACACAATGTCATTATGCTACTGTGGCTGAACACGACTGTAACCGAAAGCCAAATTAAAAACAATGATGCTTAGTACAAGATCACATGGAGTTCAGAGCTTATCACTCGTTAAGAGATCGCATGTTTTGAGTGGGTCTCCGACTGAGTGATCAATGGCCACCTCTTTCGCAGAATAGTTCTAAAAACTGATTTCCTCAAGCGATTTGAAGATGGTCTGATTTACTGGTAGGCCTACAAATTTGTATGCCTTAATTTGAGAAATTAAACGTTGCAAATTTGAAGACTAAGATCAATTTGATAAGTGTTAAAATGCGACAGACACGCTTTGGGGATTGGGATGCACGCTAAGTACAGAAAAAAAGACGGAGTTTTACTACCAAGAACACTACGCTCGGTCACTTGAGCTGCAACTGATACACTACAGGCTAAAATCAATTAGATGCATCGGACGCAAACTTGATACCAATTTGGAGTTGAAAGGCAAAATAAGCATAGTGGATATGTCGGTGAAGAAAGTGAGAATGTTGTTTTATAGATTGAAGTAAGCAACCGATTGTCTTACCAATCTCATATTCGACAAGGAATAAACACTAGTCATTATCCAATTATAAAAACGAAACCGTGACGAAAACCTTTCACAGCGGAAAATATATGTAGTTGGGCGTTTAATACAGCTACGAAATTCCGGTTAGGGAGGGCTATCGAAGAGCGAAAAACCTTAAACATTCGGTGGAAGTTAGAGTGCAATTATTCTTGATTATTGCGGAACGAAGTTCGGCTATTTAATAAACTCGATATTACTGTAGCTATCCCTTAGAAAATACATGATTTCCAGGCAATTCTGCAAAGAGTAGCCTAAAATTCGCAGCTGCAATAAATATCAGTAAAAATCCTGTGAAAAAGCAAAACTGATTAGTTAATCCGCAACGTAGAAATATCAATCTGTCAATGAAATTAGGAGTGGAGTAGCTAAAAGTGAGGCGCCAATTAAAGGAATTTAATCCACTGGCCTGCCGAGGCAAATCAGAATGATTCACGGAAAGGTTCATCAGTCATTTATGGCTCAATAAACAGAGATTATGGGAGAAAAAACCCCAAGGATATATTTTTAAGAATATATTAACTTGTTAGGTGATCCCTATGCAGTCAGTCTTTTAATACACACACTAAGTTAGGTGATCAATCCATAACACAAACAAGGGAAATGGTTTTTTTAGAGAATGCATGACGGCAGATCAGACAACCGACGACAAAACATTTTGAAGAGACCATCCTAAAATACATCGAAAATAGGCTATTGTTTCGCATGAGTTACGGTTGTTTGGTAATTTTTACGAAAAACATCTCGTGGATTTGTAAAATCAATATATGAACAAGTATAACCAAAGGAAAAAGCGGTTTCACAAGGAATCGAGCTAACAAATGGAACAAGGTTCATGTATATGGATGTTTTAGTGCGAGTGGTATGTAAAATTGATTATTATTTGAGGAACATTTCCCAAACTGAGCTTCTCTGGTGCCGACCAAGATAAAAAATATACCGAGGGAGCATATGGTGAGTAAAAACTAAGCTGGCAACTTAGGCATTTTTTCTGCAAAACACATGGAATCTATAAAGTATTTAGTTATAAATCGCGTGTTACGAACTTCTGGTCATACAAATTAAAAACGACCTCGCATTTTCCCGAATTAACAATACCAGTTCATGGATATTGAATCCATTGAAAGTAAATAGGGTTTTACACGTCTAGTTCGATACGTCTGGTAAGTACGGCCACATGACTAGAGAGAAACTAGTGAGATAAAATAAATCAAGATAGATTAAAAAATAATTTATCTAACAAAGGCAAGCGACCTCACCAGCTCGCCCACAAAGAAACAAGAATGTGATTGGACGGTAAACGACGAACTCCCACAGACGTGACCCTGGAATCAATCAATGAAATTTCAGAGATTTTAAAAGGCCCACAAACTAAGGCTTTACCTACCCATTCAAATAGAGCCATTTAAAGATATGCAAGAAAACTCAGCTTCCTCACTCACTACTAAAAATACTTTTTCAATAAAATTTTTAAAATGTTTGAAACTAACAAGTGAGATGGGATCAACTTAGCAGTTCGTTTGTTTTAAATCAGTTTTTTTACCGCAATTTAGGTTAAAATAAAAATAACGAATGTTTTTTTGTAAGGGACTTGAAGTGACTAGAAATTTAAACACAAATATATTTTCTCGAGCTATTTATCGTATTTAAGATTGACATTGAAAGCTATTTTTTCGACGTTTTACACTAGTCTTTAGTGGTTAGACATGTGTTAGTAGAGTCGTTTGTCACGAGGAAGTATCCGTTTTGATTTTTTTTCCTAGGAGAACACAAGAGCACAAAAAAGCATCCAGCGAATTTTATAAAAAGCGTATACTTACCAGCTATGTATTAAGTACAACAAGTACGGTAGTAGAAATAAGTTAATAACGAGAAAAAAAATGGAAATTATTTGCGACAAGACATTTTCAAGAACTTGTTGCCAATACGGGCTTACAAATCATGGATTATATTTATAATTTATTGACCACCCCTTTATGTCGATTTTGAGACTTGAACAACATTCGGTCGAATTAAGTGACAAATTGGCATTCTATTTTGTCATTACCTAAATTACTGCCTGTTACGAAATTTTTTTTATTTTGAAACGTTCATATATCAGGTAACAGCATGAATGTTTATCATGCTGCAGATTTACCCAATCCTGTTCTTAGCAGAATTTTTTTGTTTTTGATAATGCATGCTCAACACACAACTGAATTTCTATTCGTCGTTAAAGCGGCTTATTTTCAATCTCAAATTCCAGTGAAATGGAAAATCGCTTCGTTGTCGAGCACCAAAACTAATGAAAGTATATGAAGTGAATTAAAATTTTTATATATGGGTGTTTTGCAGCTTAAAAATTGCTTTAAATATATATACATATAATCTTTGATATAGTATAATGCAGATTTGCAACTTGATCTGAATGCTATTTTCTTAACTCTTTGTTTTAATTTATCATAGCTGTTTAGTCAACATCCGCATTTCGCGGTCTTCGGGTTTTCTGTATTTTGAAAGTTCCGCTACAAAAGTGAGCGAAATTCTAATTTTCCGGCACTTTCAAAATGGGTCTGTGAGTGTCGATTGGATTTGCTAGAATGGATGATTGTTTGAGATTAGTTTGTACTTCTAGATGTCAAGTTGCGCTATGACGCTTTGCAGTGTGATACCTCTTATCCGTCCTCATTCTTGTGTGCTTTATCACCGTTTTTGAAGCATCAGCATTATTTTCGTAATTCATAAACTTCTACGTAATTAATTTTTAAGGGTCTACGTTATAATGTCAATATGACTTGTTATCTAACTTTCCACCAAACTAAATACTCATCCGTCGCTTTTCTGTTCTTCCACGTCTTTGTCGCGGAATTCATTAGTATTTTGAAGGGTTTTTGTCCAACGGATATTTTAAGTGTTGGTGAATTTCAAATGGTTTGCCAAAATTAGCCTGCATGTAATAATCGGAAGATCCATTGCACTCAATGTGAGTTTTTCTAAAAAATGAGCTCAAAATGTGATCAACTTCCTAGCTTTTTTCGTCCATTTTTTATCGCGGTCTCCTATTTATAGGTCATGGACATTAAAGCGGAGTCGTTTGTCAGCGGAGCTGGCGACTTTTTCGACATCCCAGCAGCAGAGCAAGAGATCACAGTTGGCCCCACTGAACAACCTCCCGTACCAACTGTTGGTTCAACTCTTGTACAAAACATTGTAACAGCACCGAATGAAGGTGTATATCAGCCTGTTGGTCCTTCAGTCGTCAGGGTAACTGGAACCCCTCAGACGTCCCGTGGGCCACGTGTGATCATGGTCCAGCGTTCCAGTCAAGGCGGTTTAACCTCTACTCCTTCCGGCCAGGGTCTTAAAGTGAGCACGAATTCAATTATTTTTCAAGTTGCCTGAGTAAAATCAGTTTCCTTTCATTTAAATTAATTTGTTTTAGACTGTTAAAATCATTACAGTTCCTGGTCAGGGTGCCGGGGGCAAGCCAATTAAAGCTGCCGTTATCCCTATGCACATGCTCCAGAGAGGTGTTAAAGTGCTCACCTGCTCTGGCCAGCAAACAATTGGCCCGGGCGGAACAGTACTTACCTCAGGTGGAGCTGGCTCACCTAGTGGAACACCTCGTGTTTTGGCATTGCGTACCGCTGGTCAGATCACCGGTCAATCATCAGGAAATTTGACTTTCTTGGGAACTCCTGGAACCCACATTCGACCGGTATGCTCCTTGGCCTGAAATTTATTCTGTATTTCAAAAGCATTTATAATTTTCATATTTTATTCTAGGGCACGTTTATAGTTTCAAGCGGACCCGGACATGCTCGCGTGACGCAAGGCTTTACGTTGCCTCAACAGCTACCGCAACAAATTGGTGAGGAGGTTGAAAACTCGTTCTTACCTGGTAGTGGTCCTGGCACTGAGGGCTTTGCCCAACCGAGTTTTCTCGATCTTTCTGCTGCAACTGCTACTGGACATCCAGCCGCTGCGCATTTCACTCGTCAGGCTAGTCCAGGCGGGCACGAATCTGACGGTGAACAGGACCAGTAAGTCGTTCTACTCGTACTCAAAATAAACTCATCTGTAGTACCTACGGGGTCGGAATTTGGCTAGAAATGCCGGCCTATCGTTCTCACTGTGTAGCGAAATGCCGTTGGGCGTGTTTGATTTCTGACATCCAATGAGGCGTCAATCTGATCTTGTCTGTGTAGTAATGCACGCATTGTATCTTGGTAACTGCCGACCCTTGTGACCGTGTCTAGGTTCTATACAGTGCTTTAAATATTACTGATATGAAGTCAACTCTTTATCTCTTTCACGAATCTTGGAAACGGAAAGATTACTACTGGTTTTTCGTTTGATGCAGTCCTCTATTTTTCGTTTAGCGTAACTACTGGATTAAAAACAAATGGTCTGCGTCGTTACGCCCGGTGTGTGTGTAATAAAGTAAAGGAGAAGAGAGTCACATCCTATAGCGAAGTTGCTGACGAACTTGTTCATGAATATGCTGCAGAACATCCTATGATCCCATCTGAGCAGGTAATTTTCAGCCCCTGTTTTGTATTAACAATCGTTTGTTTGTTTTCGTTATTTCAATCAGTGTGATTCTTGGATCCGGTCAACGGGCATGGCATTTGTGCAATGCTGGTTCACTTAGCGAAATGCATTCGCCTATGTGGATGGGTCTACCTCAAATCGTACTCATTATTACTTCTTGACTTCATCGTAATTTTTTGAGTGATACTCAAATAATTAAATTACAATTAGTCCTGAGTATTTTGACATTCATTGAATAAGCTGCCTTGAATTCGTGTCATTTTAGGTTGTGGTATCAAACAGCATTATTGTTGTTTCGTAATTCAATGAATTACACCTGATATATTTAAAAAAAAGCTGCAGTGATTTGCACATTGTCGTAAGACAAAATTGTTTTAATATCTGTGAGAATATAGAGCCGAACTGATGGTAACCTACGTACGACTAGTTATTTTCTTTTTTAGCTCCACTACATCCAAAAGAACATTCGCCGTCGAGTCTATGATGCCCTTAATGTACTGATGGCACTAAATGTATTGCGGAAGGAAAAAAAGGAGATTCATTGGGTTGGGTTGCCAGTCAATATGATTGAAGAGTGTCGAAGACTGGAGGAGGAGCGCGAGAAGCGACAAATTTCCTTGAGGAATAAGGTAATCGATATGTAGTTGCGTAAATTCAGGCACATAGATTTTTCGTCGTGTTAGTATTCAGGTGAAAATTCAAAGGAGCATAATTGAAAAAATCTCCAGATGATCGAACGTTTGAGCGCTTTGTCGCATCCGTGTCAACTAGTTCATTGATTGAACAGTTGATGCTAGTAATATGAGGTTTTCGACATACTCTTTTAACTAAACCAACCGAATAACTTCATCACTTTATAGACGGCGGAGATTCAGGAGTTGATTCTCCAATTGATCGCTTTCAAAAACCTCATCACTCGCAACCGGTTGAACGAGCGTTATCAGCGACAGCGTCAAGCCCAGCGGGAGGCAAACGAGGCGGCGGCAGCCTCCGGCGTTTCTCCCAGAAAATCACCTGCTAGCTTGGACAAAAGTGTTGCCGCACTCGTTCCCCAACGCCTTGACCGTATCCCTCTGCCTTTTCTTGTGGTTTCAGCGAACAGAAAGGCTGTGATTGATTGCAATATCTCCAAAGACAAGTAGGTACATCTTCCGGCTAGGTATCTTCCTGTTTGATCCCCCAAAGTTATCATCGGAGCTATAACACGCATCAGTTTGTGTCTATTTCGTGGCCTATATGCGTACATTAGATTTTCTTTTTTAGGTTAGAGTATCTCTTCAACTTTGACCAGCCATTTGAGCTCCGTGACGAAGTGGACACGTTGAAGAGGATGGGGCTCACTCTGCGGCTTGGCAGCCCACAATGCACTCAAGAGGAGTACAATCAATGCCTTGAACTTATTCCTCCATCACTTAGGTTTTATGTTGAAGGTGAACTTTTGGAGAATTTGGATTGCTGGCTGAAGGTTTCTAGTTAAACCCAGCCCGTGTTCTGTGCTCAGTCTTTTTTTCACTTGTCTACTAGTCGTGGTTGTCTTTTTTAAATGCGTTTATTCCTCAAAACCCTGGTAGGAAATGCCTTCTTTAATGCAGTACCTATTGTGGCGCCGCAGGTCTTTTTGCTAGCGTCTCGTTTCGATATTCTTGTTTGACTTAATATTTGGGTATTACTAGCTAAGGTGGGTATTGAAGCAGCGTCACGAAGATGCCAGACTAGAATTAGCATGACTATAATCATAATTATAACATTTAAATTGCATTTTGTTTCTACATCAGACATTTAGCAAGTGTGAAGACATGTTCAAGTTTTCAAGAGTTTCCTTAAGTTGTTTTATATCCCCCTTCCAGCCATTTACGAACGCCGTCAGGCTATTGTTCCCGATTTCGAAGCTCTTCACCAGCAACGGCGTCTCTTTGTCGAAGCTCGTTTGGCTGAAGTCGCAGGTGCAGGTGGTCCTAATGCAACATCTGCTGGGGTGGCGGAATCCCATCATCATCCCCAACATCACACCAGACGTTTCGGTGATGATTTCTTTGACGATGAAGAAGAAGAGGTGGATGGAGGAGCTAGTAGTGGAGCTACGGCTACTGAGCAGATCCACCTCCAGCGCGCAAATACCACCGTTCCACCCGTTACCGAGATAACCCCTGGAGATACCCAGCACTACGCCAGGACAGCTGCCTCTCGTGGGTTCGTGGTTCCTGGTGGGCCAGGAGGCATGCTACGTCATTCAGCAAATAGTGTTCACCGGGAGGCTGTCAAGCTTACTGTCAAGGGCTCTACCGGGGATCCTTCCGAAAATGCCTCGGCAACGGCCGCGATCAGCGTAGGCAGCGCTCCTGTTGGTGGCGGCGGTGGTGGTGGGCGTTTATTTGACGTCGGGGAAGAGGAGTCGGATGTGGATATGGGTGAGGGGGAAGAAGATGACGATGAGGATATGGAAGACGTTCAGGAGGCACTGAAGCCGCCGCCATAAAACCAAAATGTCCTATTGTAAAGCCATTTACAATTATGTAATCTTTTCACCCCCTCCTATCCGTTGATGTGCGTGTTGCTATCGTTGATCAAGGTCGAAATATATATATATATATTTAAAAACTGAAATTTGCCCTTTCATACTTTTTAGCAATATATTATTTTGCGAGACCAAAACATGAGGTCATCTGTATTCGAGCTACTTAACTGAGACCCCATGTAATCGTGACTCATGCTACAGCGAAAACATAAAATGTCACGGTGGTTTTGGGGGTGAGGTTCTTGTTAGGGTCATCGCGCATTGTGGCAGCTAATTGGCGTGGGCCGATATTCGATCAAGAGCACAAAAGTGGGTGCTGAGATTGCCCACAAGTGGTTACTTAGCAGTTCAGTTGTGAACATCGCGGCTTGCGTTTTTAGCGAAGGCGGACAGCGTCATGTCTCTTTTTGGTGTGCGTGTGTGTGTGTGCATACCAGTAAAAATCTGCTGTGGGTCTGTAAAAGTTGGGTTTTGTGCCAAATTTTTTTGGTAGTAAGGGTATTTCCTGGGTCAGGTTCCCCTATGAGCCTTGAGATGTCACCAGTCACGATTAGTTTCGCAGACAGCGGGTTCGGGGTTCTTGACTTGTCCCTTAGTGTATCCCTAGTTATCTCGTGTCTTGATTCTTATAAGCGTTCATTCCGATTCTGCTGAGTGGGGCTTTTCGGTTGCCGCTTTGAAGAAAAAAGTTTGGGAATCGTGGATTTCGATTCTGTGCCATAATCAACCAACTAATGACCATTTCTGGTCGCATTGTGGACTCGATGACCAACTTGCCCCGATCGTTTTCTGATTGGGGTTTTAGCTAGCGCTCTTGCACTCAAGACACGGAGCGATGATTTTCAAGTCGTTTGAAGTGACCTCCGCATTTCTACTTTGTAGATTTTTTCGCCATGGGAGACGCCACAGAACACAGTAACCATGTGCGTAGAAGGTACATCCAATGCCCCGATCAAAACTACATTTTCTAGAAAGTTATCTTGGTCGTGTGAATCTCCGCCAAAAAAGAAGGGATCAATTGATTTTGCAGACCAAGGATCCAGTCCCTCTAAGCGCCCACCGTGCAAATATGGCTCTAATTGTTACCGGAAAAACGACCTCCACTTCCAGCAGTATTGGCATCCGGGTGCGAGCACACGATCGCGCTACTTTTAAGCCTCATTTCCCCTTTAAATAGAATTTCTTTTTTCTTGTCATAAAAGCGGACACAGACGCCTCACATGATCCCCCTGAAGTATCCTCCATGGTGGAACTCGGATCAGGCTTCGGGTTTTACGTATATCGTGTACGTGGCGTGAAATATGAGTCAATTCCAACCATCACTCTCTCAGGTAAGTCGCGAGTCTTTTTCAACATTTCCTGAGTGCGCTTCACGGCTATTTCATCGGTGAGGCGTCATTATTATCAGCCTTCTACTTCACGGAATAATCAATGCAACGAGAATTTTTGAGGATTCCAATTCAGTCCTTTCAATTCGGGTCCACGTTTTTCACATTCTTTAAGCCATTTGATGTCTCAACTCCCCTTCGTTGAATTCAAAGTCTGTACTTATCGCGATTTGCTTTGCACTCGTGCTTTTTTAAATCGAATTGCTTTTGTTAATTTTTGGGGGCCTTAGAATTTTTACAATGACCGTGTTTGAGTTTGATAACCAATTTTCTTAAGTAAATTTTTGCAAGACTAACTGGCTGAGTTGAGCCACTCTCGTCAGCCCATACGTGCGGCGAGTGCGCACGATTTTGACCGAGAAACGTGGCCGGCAGTGGTGATTCCCACAGTGCCTCTGTGTAAAACACACAGCAAGGCTCCCTAACACTTGGGTACGTGAAGGCCGAGGGAATCCATGCAAAGTTGCACTAAGAGGCGGGGTGGGTGTGGGCGGGAATCGCCCGAGTATGCAATTTATTCACAAATGCACAACCTGCTAGGCAGTCAAGACACTAACCAAAGCAGGACCATCGTATTGAACATTGGTGTACTGTATGATGAATTTATGCGCAGAAAGCTTCTAACGGTCTTTGTTGTTGTCAAGTCAAAGAGTAGTTGGATTATCATCTAGTGAAAATTTGAATACATTTTTTGAGTCCTGGCAGACTTTCCTCTCCAACTTGTTTTAACACAGAGTCACAAGTAAACCAGGGCACGAGTTATGGGCGCAACCCTAATGCACTCTGCAGTGTAACGGCGCATGTCGTTTTTATAAACATCTCAATTCTGCGGCTCCAATGTAATCTAAGCAAACTTCTTCGATTTTAGAGATTCTCGATGAGAGAAATGGTCGACTCATTGAGTCAGCACAGGTAGGGATTTTGCTTAAAATCGTTTATAACATCGAGGTCTTTATTTCTATTATATGTTTTTTCTTTTTTAAAATTCAGTTTAACTACATGTTTGAATTTGATTGGTTGATCGAACAATACCCAGCCAAGTACAGGTGGGTTTTACTTTATCTCTTTTATTCCTTTGTCTTTTGACAAAGTACAACTATCAGTAACTTTAAGGTCCCTGCCTTTACTGATTGTTCACGGGTCTTCTGACGGACAACGTGATTTGCTCAGAATACAAACCGCTTGTTGGAGTAATGTCTCCGTAATCGAGGTGAGCCGGTCCGACGGGCCATCATTACTAAACTACATCCTACTTATTCTCTAAAGTAGCATAAAACTCCGGAGAATATTTTAACAAGTGAGCACCCCCTTCATTTTATTTTTCACTCATGGTCATGACAACAAGTGCAGGCGCCACTTCCGATCGCGTATGGGACGCACCACACGTACGTTTTTTTACAAATTTCATAATGGCACGATTTTGATTCGAAAGATTACATCTTATCAATTCCTTAATCAAGGAAGATGATGCTGTTACTCTATGAAGACGGACTGAGAATTGTAATACACACTGCCAATCAAGTGAAATCCGATTGGGCTCTACGAACCCAAGGGTAATCGATATTTTTGAAGACATACTGAAAGCAACTTTGAAACTCGGCTTCTCGAAATAATGTTCTGTTAGTATCGTTAAAAGCATATTTTGAATACTTAATTTATGCAAATCTTGATGTTTTCGGAGTCAAAAAGCAAGCTAATCGCTGTCGAAGTGCGAAAATGCCATTAAATCCCGAGAAAACTGTAGTCAATTTTCATACATTAAGTTGTCTGGGTAAAGTGAACCTTATGGAATCTGGCAGCTTAGTTTCGAAGAATTATTTTAAAACTGACTCTTAGGTTTTTGACATGCGACATTTTGTTCGACATAAATGGGATTTTAATTTTGCGTTCTTGTTTCCACTTTTGAAATACCTTAGTAACAATGCACACGTGTGCATCTTAATTTACAGCGTAGATTTGCCATCGTGAACTCTACACCCTGTCATTGTACATTGTTACGGGAGAATCAAGAGTTTTCGTACATAAGTAATTTGCCTAAAAAAGTTTTACTGTAGCAGAATAAAATCCACTCACTAATGAGAGCCTATTAAAAGTTCCAAGTCGTGGATAGGCCTTAAATTTACTACTTCATACATATGTAGAATATGGATATCGCCTAAACTTAACCGCGGCCGTGAGGATTCGAAAACGCAATTTCGGAAAGATTTGATTGCCTACTTGACAGCTTACAAATCTGGCTCTAATATCTCCAGTAAGCTTAACCACTGGATTGAGGTGATCACGGAGCATGACTTCAGATGTCTAAAGTATGTTTTCGTTTCAATCTCTTTTAATTTTGATATATTTTTTTGCTAAGCGGTTTGTTAGGTATTCAACAATGTAGCACAGGTTAAGTGTTATTCTAATGTAACAATGTGCCGCTGGCATCACGTTAGTGGAAAGTGAAGTAAAGCCGATCATCATTATCAACCGCACGAACTCTGCATGCGGAAGCTACTATAATGAAGTGAAAGGTCGGCACTGCCTACGAAGAGTTCCTATTTATGCCACGTGTATAGGGTTTTGTGATGCAAAAGGAGTACCTTGTGTCCTAACCGAAGCACGAAATAATATGGAGGCGGTGCATTTTACCCCGAGGAATTTCTCACGGGTTGTAAATCCCTGTGCTTTGTGTACTCTAGAACACACGAGTGATTGCCTTCGGGAGCGCATTTGTTGTTTTGTGACCCTAGAACATTGAATGGTTAAAAGTTTGTGTTAGGCGGGAAGTAAGTAAGCGGAGAGTCGAAGTCCCAGCAAATAAACGATACCTTGCCTGGAGGGGCTTGAAGACGGGTGGCCACGTGCGAGAACGACCTCCCCCGCCACCTCACTCCGCCACATGCGACTCACATGCGAACGCGACACCCACGAGACGGCGCAGCGGGTCGCGGTGGTTGCACCGGCGGTGCGCCCGAGGGGGTGGGTGCGCGCTCCACCGTCCGAATTTATCGCGATGTCTTATCTGCACCAACATTATCTGATGCATCCCAAATTTCAGTTTGTCTGCCTTTAAGAACCAGAGAAATATCCTTGTACCAAGTAGTGCGATCAAAGCGCACACACTTGATGGCATGAGGTTATGCCGATTCGGAAGTTATGCTCCACCGCCTAGCATGATGTTTGGTGCCAGTTGTGTTCATTAGGTGGTCCGCATGGCCTAACCGGTTCTTGTGGTGGAGTGAGCTTCTATGTGGTATTACCGAATGCGAGAACAATGGAAACGTTGACTGACTCCACGGGAATGGTAAGCATAGTGGACGTGACGTGTGATGTAGCTTTGGTGGTTGATTTTCGCGGGCGGACATGCGACGCTGAAACTTGTCAAATGGAGGCTCAGGAGTCATCATAAGACAAAAGCCCTCAGAGGAGGCGAAACGCCAGGGGAGCAGAGGAGGATGATGGGCCTAGCAGGGGAATCGTAGGAGCGTTCAGAGGCAAAACCCTGAGGAGGCTGTAATCTAAGGCTTTGAGTACAACGGAGGTTTTAGAGACTGCACAAGTCGAAGAAAATAGGGATGTTTTTCTGGTGGGAATCGAGGTTTCTGGTTGGCGTAGCTTATTGATGCGTCGGTTGTCCAAAACAGACCTTTTAAATTGACCTGAAATAATTGCAACTCTGATTCTCGGTAGGTGTTGGAGAAATTCGCTGTTCCGCGTTCATGGCCGCTAATTGGTCAGTTTTCGTCAATTGGGTCTCTTGGAGCCCAGCCAAGTAAATGGCTCACTACGGAATGGTCCAGCAGTTTGGCCGGCTGGGGTGCTCGTGGCATCAGATTGGCAAGTTTTATTTCACTTTATTTCTTAATTAACATTTAGTATTTACTTGGCTTTGTCGTTAAATGCAATAGAATCTTACCTCAACAAGTGCTTTTAAGCAATGTGTCCCATAAATCCAGGCTGTATCTCGATTCCTGGAGTACTGTTATCCTTTGTATTGATCGTTCAGTTCTCCAAGGCGTTCAATCAACACTTAATAAATCGAGGTAGTTAATTTGTGCAATTTGGGTGTTCCTTCCCTCATTACCCACTAAGTTAGTGTAGTTCTCCGATTTGTCGGTGACGAGGCTAGCAGAAGGTCTGTTGTAGGCTCCGGCATGTGGTTTTGAACCGTTGCGTTATGCTCACCCGTTTGAGTTATCCAGATACCCGGGAGGCCTAAGCCGCGGAAATGGCGGGGAAAACCCGTTTTAGGTGGCTCAACTTAGTTGTGCTCTGTCGCGTGTGACTGATGAAGTTGTTGAGGTCTGTTGACCAATACGGATTGGGTGAGCAAATTAGGGTACACATGATTGAATGGCCAGATAAGTGAAACGGGTAGCGGGGTTGTAGATGCAATAGGGGTGTGAGCATTCGGTCCTGCATGGTTGACGGGCGCGCTGTAGGAAGGAAGGAAGGAAGGAAGGGCGGTGTGTCGGAGTATGCGGCGATGGGCGTGAGTCAACACAATTCACTACAGCGCCCTCTTTCTACGTCAATTTCAGCCCACATTCAACCCGGTTCTTTCGCACCTTGGGCCGGACGAACGACCTCTGTAATTGCGACCAAAAAATATATTGCACTAACCACAACGGTAGCTGCTATTGTATTCACTCTAAACTCATGCTGTTTGCTTGAATTATAGACCGCAAACCTGTGGCACTACTTATTTTCTGCTGTTTCTAGAAATACAGACCGTTGCAGCTTATTGCTTTGACGGTTATTGCGGGTCTCTTCTGTAATAAACTGAAATTTTTGACCCATAAACACATCGTAATGTTGAATATTTTCAATTTCAACATGGCTGAGTAGTAAATATTTAACAGTGTTGCTTTTTTCTGCATTTTCATGGGTTTAATTCATATTAAAAACAGAATAATCAACATCCATTCTTTTGCCATATCGAAACCCAGGCCTGTGATCGGTTAATGTTTGTGCATTTATTCCTTTGGTGTGTTGCCAGTTTTAACTTTTTTGGTCCGGCAAAACTAATAAGTGGAATTATTACGACTGAAACACTCCAGGGTTGTGTAAATGACTGACCTGGCCACATCATAGCTGTTGTGTTTCCTTAACAAACTAAAGGCTATTAAGTTTACTTAACTAATCAACGTTTCGTTCATTGACTGCGGCCATGTACTGTGTTTGATGTGGCATTGATTACTGCACATTGCTTTATCTCTATTCTCCGTTCATGTATTTGGGAATAGCGTGTTCAACTGCATTCTAAACAGTCCTTTCCACTGATTCTCAATCGATTAACCAAATTGGACGTTATTACTATCAGTGACGTGCGCTTTTACAACAAATTACCAGTGGTGGGTATCCCTAATGTATCCTTCAGATTTGTTACTTCTTGCTTCTTCCCTTCATTTGCCCCCTACCCTGTTCGGCGGTTCAAGTTTAAAATGTGCCCTTTTTCTAACTTTTGATGAATCCAAATTGTTGATCTTATAATACTTCAATCCGTTCCTGGTGCTTGAATCAAGACGTTTGTTTGAGCGCAACTGTTTGTAGCCGAGACTCGGTTTCACGAATCGTCATGGTGGTGGCTTAGCGTGACACGTGTGGACAAAGGTGAATCAGCAGTCTGAATCAACCAACGATGTCTTCGGCTCGGTTAACAGATGATCGTCAGCAATAAGTCAACACACTTAAATGTATAATGGAAAGCTGCATGTACTTGGAGGTGACTCATAGCTAATGGCTAATGTTTAAATCTGATTTATAATCGAAAAGACATGAGCCGCTATATGGGTTAAAGCGAAATTAATGATATACATGGGTAAATCCATGTTCTTTTGCCATGCACACGATTCCCCCTAATAATGGAAGGATCGGATTTTAGATCTTTTCAAACAAGATCAAAAGTGGTTCGCGTTGCACCACAGGTACACGCCAAGTGCTATAAACGCATGAAAACGTTGCTGATGTCATGCTAACATTGGTCGGTGTATTTGTTGCACTCAGTTTGCACAATTGCAATCCCTTAAGCCAAGCCTAACCTAACTATTGTCCATCTTCTTTTTGTCCAATGATTAACTAGTAAGTGTTGTAAGGACACCAAATGTTGCTGATCTCTAATTCGTTTTTTGGGCGTCCTTTCACAAAAAGATCATAATAAAATTAACAAAGTGGTTATTGCACCCAATAAAGGTTTTTGAATTATGCGTTTATTATTGTTTTGGGCCATCGCCTCCCTGACTCTGGATCATGACCGAAGTTTGCCTATTCGGATTGTAGAATTTAACTTTAAGTCACATTAAAAACTACTCATGTTTTGTTTTCCTTGCCTTGAATATATAACAATCTATACTCAACGCTTCGTGAAATTTTCATAAACGCCGGACTTGGATACTACTAATACTGCTAGTACGTCCCACATTGGTCTATAAGTTTTTGCGGAGTGTTCGTATCTGTTTGCCCATCCGATTTTGAAGGCTATCTTGCGTAGACACCTGCGCAGCAACTAGTAAATTTCGCCTGTTTTTGGTTTTGCTGTAATTTACACGATAGTGACGCGTTGCCACTTTTCTCTTTTTATAGATTTACCCCTCAGTGGATGACGTCCGAAACAGCCTGGAGGGTTACCAGGCGGGCGGCTGTTTGCCCTACCGGAAGGAGGTTGCGGCTCGGCAGCCCTGGCTGCGCCAATTCCTTCACTCGTGGGTGGGCGCCTCTGCCGGTCTGACAAAAGCCATCCCTCACATCAAATCTTACTGCCGCTGTTCGCCAGATGGACAACAGATCAGTTGGTTCCTTCTTACCAGGTTCACACACTTGTTATAAACTTAAGGGAAGCTGGATTTGTAGCCAGTTTTTAAACGGGTTGGGCAACGTGCACAAGCGTCTATGGCGATGCACATTTAAATGCAACTACTTTCCTACCAATGAGCCGTCTTAACTTGAAGGGTCTATGTTGATTTTTAAAAGATTGCCTCAGATTCCACTCCTATGAACTGTGAAAGGCTGATTTGTAAGTAGATTACTATAAAAATGGTATTTTGTGCAAATTACCGGTTGCTTTTTGCGAGTAACCAAAATTACACTGAAACCGTGTACACATGTCTCTTGGCTAACGCAAGCTCTGCCCTCTCAGTGCCAGAACAAAAACAGCCTCGTGCAGAGTTTTTATGGTCGCATGACACGCCAAAGTGGACAGCTTGCATACGGTTTGGATGACCTTGAACTGATGCATTAATGCGGATCAATGATGATGGGAACTGGCAGTGTGAAGTAGAACTGTTGTGACTGTACGACTAGTCTGACCCTTTGAATTAAACCTTTGAAGTAATGTAGCTACATGAATGATGTAAAATGAGAAAATAGTGTGAATGATGACTTACTTAGCACATATCCTTAATTAAGGAATTTATATCGCTTATTAAAGTCAAACTGGAGTAGTATCCGTTGCTGGTCGTTTCGATTACTCAATCTTGGATATGTTGACCAGCTCACTGTCATTTGGTTTGAGTCCGGCTGTTCTGTTAAGGCTTCTACCGTCGAAGTTGGCAGCTAAAATCTTTTAAGAAAACAAGTCCTGCACAATGCCTGTCTGCCGATCGGGATTCACCATCCTTGTCTGCGGCAGAGTTGGATTCTATGCCTCACCCATTTTTTTGCGACCCACCCTCACGGTGTGCGATGGTTCACGCGGTTCATGGGGTCACGTTCCGATCGCAAATGTGTTCGCCTCAAATGGAATACTTGATTTTACCCATTGCAGAATTTGTCTTCTGAAACACACTGCCCATAAGTGCCTCGTTTGCCGGGCTTCAATCAAGGTTTTTTGGTGTACTAATGGAAAATTCCGTAGGATGTAGATAGGTTTCCCCTCCTTTCAAGGTTTGAACAAGGTCCGTTTGAAGGTCGACAAAACATTCAGTCTACTCATTTGACTGCGGTCGGTGTGGTGAAGAATGACTATGAGTGACGGCGTGTCACGTACAAAATCCTTTGAAATGTGAGTTGGACTGGGAGCTGGTGTCGGATACTATGCTTTCTTGAATTCTATATTGACTGAAAATTTGGGACAGCGTTTGCGTGGTCCTAATTGTTGTTGGTGAATTCATTGGAACAATCTCCAAACATTTTGTGATGCTGTCAAATGATAAAAGGTATGAGATCCCACTTATAGGTCACTGAGAAAAAGTGTGTCAAAGAAGGAGTGCCCCTTGACATCATTGTTTGATTTGCACCGGGATGTTTAATGTCCGTCCGTGACAGTGGAGGGATAGACGGGCCAAGACTGTGAGGATCAGAGAAGGGAGCATTAACACTATGCTGAAATGCAATGATTTCATCACCACTGTGACCCCTAGGTTGGGCCATCTTAGAGTCATGCTGTTGATTGCTTCAACATTTGTACACATTGTTGATTGCAATGAGCAATGAGAGTTCTGCTGAAGGGGATTGTGCAGTCACACCGAAATTTCTGCAAAAAGGGATTTATTCGTTAGCGAAGGATTTAAGCTGGAATTTTTTGCCTTCTCGACTTGCCACGGTAAGGTGGTTCGAAAATTCGTCACCGTCTCCTCATTATCTGTTTGAGACTGCTACTCAATGGTGAAGAGGGATGAGTGTTCCCTAGATGCCTGAGTGTTTGAACAATCTCCTCGGTGGAGTGAATCCGTGGATTCGGAACGATGCGAAGGTTACTATACCGGTCTGAGTTTACGACGCAGAAGCCGGACCATTTATATGTTGCGCTGCTTGTGATGCCGTCGGGGACTTTTTATGTTGAGGATGAGTCTACACCAGGTGTCGGGGATAGCAGAATGCTTCCCCATTCTTACGACAAAGTGGAGCACAAGCAAAACAGTTTGCAAGCAGAAATCCGATATAGCACTTCCACCCATTAACACAATGTATTTTGGGCTTCTAGAATGGTGGAGGTGTCGAAGGCCTCGGCATGCGGTCGTGAACCGTCACGCTGTACTAACTCGATTGAGCCACAGTTACTTAGAAAGACTAAAAGACCGGACACGGCAAAGGCATAACCGTTTACCAGCTGGCTCAACCAAGTTATTTGCAGCGCCACTTTGCAAGAAAACTACGTCTGACTACTGGGAGTTGTTGACCCATGCAGTTAGAATGAAAGCGCTTGAATGTAAAGATGCGAATGGTTGAATGGCCGGATGAGTGAAACGGGAAGCGAGGGCGCTACATGTACAGGAGGGGGGGACTGTGAGTGGGCTGTTCCGCATGGCTGACGGGCAGGCTGTGAGAAGGCAGGCGGCTTGTCGGAGTGCGCGGCGGTGAGTTTGAATCAACACGTTGCACTGCAGCGCCCTTAAAGCCACCGGTCCGTAGTTGTAAACGTGTTTCTTGTGTTCGCGGCCATCGGTTTTCGTTTAATGTACCGTGAGCAAAATGTGAACTCTAGGCGGGAGAAGCGGTGGTTTCGCATGCCAATGCACAACTCAAATTGCACTCCTGCAGTCCATGCCTCTGGTGCGTGAGCCGCCCTTTTTTCACTTAATTTGGTTTTCCCTGTTCGCTTAGATTACTTGTCACGATAACTTCTAGGTAATCACACATTTTGAGAATTATTGCCAAATCAAAGAATACCACTTATCGTGCAAATTAAGTTCTTGATCCGAATCCAAATTCATCCCTCACTTCATACCTGCATGCTTTTCTAGGCCATCCTTTAAAAGACTTTAAATCTAATCAACACTATTCTTTTAGACTTATTTACTGATTTTCCTTAAATCGTTCATCGTCTAACTAGCGACCATAATTTGAGCTTAACATAATATTTCGTTTCGTCGGTGTAGTCTTGCGATCGCAAAACTGTGAAGCTTGTCGTGCACTGGTTGACAGTTTGTGTTCGATGTGGCATCTGCTTGGGTGTCACTCTTAGTGAACCACCACACCACCACATTTAATGTGAACATCATTCCTGCGTGAAAACGTTCAAATGTCTACCTTAATCATGAGTTGTATGTCCAAAAATCAAACCCCTAAATTAAAGAACACACAAAGTAAGATATGTATGTGTTTATTGTGTGCATCAACGGAAAACGGATCAGAAGCAGATGTGCTGTATACCAGTGCAAAGTGCAAATGCTGGAAGAACGCTTTAAATGTAATAAAATTGAATGCAACAACGAAGATGACGCCAAGCCTTTCAGTAACTTTTTTCAGCCCACATAGAATTATTAATTCAATTTCAGTTGGCTAGTGTTTTGCAGGTATGTGTTAACAAAAGTTTAATTTTTCTGGACGGATAGGTCCGATAAACAATCAAGCAACTTTTGGAAACCATGATATGATATGCCTTAGTATCCAGGGTCCCCTAAATTTCGAATGTATTTTTTCCTTCACGCCTATAGCAGGGTTGTTTAGGTATAAATGGGGAACTAGTACTCTAAAGCCCTCAAAATTTCGAGGTTGTTTAAATACAAATTGTTAATATTTTTTAATTTTCTTGTTGTATTCTTTTTCACCATATGCATATCCGTTCGCGAACTGTGGAGATTAAACTGACATTAGACTTATTCTTATCCCCATAATGTTTAAGCTTCAGCCCCTTTTGTCACTTCAACCAGCATAAAAGCGACCTCTCTGGGTCGACGGAACTCCAAACTTTACCTGGTTGTGTGGACGTGGAAACAAATTGTTTGTTTTGATAGGTATCATGTCAAGCTTACGGTTGTGGCATAATATTTGTATTCTAACAGTCCAAATACGTGCCTACTTTAGTCGTGACCGTGTAACATCTCTGTTTAAATAAGTGACATTTGTTTGGGGACACGTGGCCTTTAGAGCGAGCGATTGTCATTTTTAGTTAAGAATGGTTAAATGGAATAGGCGACACATTGCGGTTTTTGTGTTCTTCACTTAATGTTTCATACACATTGATGATCTGTCCGCCACCAGTTTGTACTTCTTTAATTTTTTGATAAAACTGCAAGTAACTTGATTTTACCTAGTAAGGGTTATCTAATTGACGTAGAAACCTTTTCAGTTCCAGGTTTGCCCAGTTAGTCCGTTACCTCCAACGATGTTCCTATTAGACACTCAAGGCAGGTGTAATTTAAAAGTAGAATGTCACTGTGTTGCCCGAAGTGCAATCAAATTGGGAGCTCGTAAGATTTACCATGCAGAGTTCAGAGGTTTAGTGGAATCAGAATGTCCAGTAACCTTGTCTGATAATTATGGAAAAATGGTTTTTCTTTTTAGCGCTAATCTTTCAAAGGCGGCCTGGGGATGCTTTGAGAAAGACAAGTCCCAGCTTCTGATTCGCTCTTATGAATTAGGCGTGCTTTTTACTCCTGAAATGGACGAAAAGGAAGTAGGTCTAGTTTTTGTGATAAAACAATGAATTTGATCACAAGCGTCACTCTTGCAACCGATCTGCCGATTTGCCTTTAAAATGCCTGCTTTTATTGCCTCCCAGCGTTTCACACCATAGTCTCTGCTATTTCCGATTTTATTGTGTTCTACGCTTCGCTTTAGGAAAACTTTCCTAATGAATTATTTCCAACGGGTTTCCACTTGTTAGCAACTAATAGATATTTTTTTAAATTTCAGAACTAAAGAATGAGAGGTTTTGAAATGCTGTCGTCTAATTTACTCCACTAGGCCGTATAATGTAAATAACTTCTCCGCTATACTAGTTTACTGTAGCTATCATCACATTTATTTGCACTTGAGCACGCCCCAGGATTTTCGCAAATGCTTCTGAAAATCCCTTATTTCAAGCCGATGAATCGGTTTGCTGGATACAAATTTTCACGATATTAAAGCAGCGTTTTACTAATTATCTCACCGATGTTTAAATTGCCTAAGGCCACTTTTTATAATGATGCAACAATACATGCTCTTAGTGTTGTTCTCAACAGCCATTGGGTTTTGGGCGCAATTATTTTAATGCTTTTGCATGATACTTCTTCTACCTGCTTGTAGAGCCATAGTTCAACCCAAGTCCTAATCCGGCAGTGTAAAATCTGTTTTTTTTTTTGGCTGCACAATTCCAACATTCACGTATCATGTTGTGTGCTGAAATCTAGTTTTCCAATGCTTTCATAAATTTAACATTTAATGGATATTGCAGCTGAAGAATGCAAAGAACAGTGGTCTAAAACAAGACAATAAATTGTCTTATGTCGTCATTGTTAAGAGCCCTTGTCTCAGTAGACATTTTAACCGTAATTCAATTGAGTGTTCACAATTTGGCTCCGAAAACATCGCAAAAAGATAACATCTTGAGCGTGAAGCAAGTTGAATCCACCATCATTTTAAGTAGCCTGGCTGTGAGCACGAGGCTGTTTGCTGGTGTGGGTATTTTTTTCTTTGCCGAAGTCATTCTCGATTTCCTCCAGAACTCTTGAAGAGGGTAATCCTAGAACCTTCACATTCTGTTTTTACTTCAAGAATTTGATCAGTAAGTCAATTAATATTCACGGTATTTTGATTTAAATCTTGCTCGTATGCTAATTCAGTCCTCTTCGATCTCTGTAAAATGGTTTTTTCCAATATGAAACGTTTCGGTGACGGTTCTATGCGAGGCCCATATTTGGCCCTCTATGAATCTGTAATGTCTAAGCTCCGAAATTTATATATTTTTTTTAAAGTGTCAGTTTTTTTGCACATGCTTTTTATACATGTGGATTCTCTCGTTGTATCTCCCACTGCTAATATTTAACGGGACTGCCTTCGCGTCAGGTTTTATTTTGTTTTTCAAATCGCCTCCTGTATGCAGTTAAATCTTGTGTCACCCTCGAAACCGTATACTGGGAGGCTCAAAAAGCCAATGTGTTCATGCCTGCTTTCGCCTCCCTGTACATGATTCGTTGACGTATTTCCCTTCAGCGAGATACTGGTGTTGATTTTCGCAGCACCTCATAAACCTTTAATCAAGGATAGTCGTGCTCTTTATTTATTGACAAAAATATTTTTAATGTGTAATATGTTTGTATTAGAAATCATCTTTATAAAATTGTCACTTCAAAATTCCTTTTTTTGCTCACTTCCGTAAATACACAGGGACTATAAAGCAGCATTTTAGAATGCTAAGTGCGCTGATACCCTTAACTGCACCATCATATTATTTCCTTCAGCTCACCAATTTGGGATAGCTTATTCATGCACGAATTGCTTCTAAGATTGTATTTTCTGTAAAAGTATGGGGTATTTGATCACAGAAGCTTAACTTTGAAATATGCCTTTATTGTTTTAGATTGAAACACCTCCGAAACTTCAAAATTTCCCTGTTCCCTATCACCTCCCTCCTGTTCCTTATGGTCACTCAGGTATGTAACATGTCTTGTGATAGCTTGCGCACAGACATTAGTATGATGATTTTCTTGAACACTAGTTACCTTGTACTGCGTAATATGCGTAATACGATTGGCGTACTTTAGTTCACTGTTGAAATGTCCATACACTGTTACACTTGGCCATTGCCGATAAGTCTGATAACGCGATTCTGAGGTGTATACGAACCGGGTCCGAAGCAGTACAAATTATCGTTCCAACAAGATCCACTTAATGGATAGTAATTTAGATTTCTGAGGATGTTAATTTTGTGTGATTATTTTGTAGTCTCTAATGCCTGCTAATTGTACTTTATTTATCGAGTATCCTAAAAGGTTGACGGGAAAAATGTTGTCATTGTCTTGCCAAAACGTGGATCTCTGCAGCTAAAATGTAGTCGACTAATGTAGTAGTTTAATTGAAAAGAAAAACGTGATGTAGCTCAGCGCGGATGTTTAATGTGTGTCATTACCCCGCTAGCATTAGCGCTTTGAAAGCCCAGAAACATATGTAGGCAAACTTGAGGGAAGTGTTTTCATGGCAAATAATTACGATAGCTCACTTAGCCGCGCAGAAGGCAAAACCTGCGTTTGCTAAAATTTGTGCTTAGCAAGTGATAGGTGGTTTTAATTCTATCTAGATGTTGAAGTAAAATATCATTTGTCGTTGCATTATAGTTCTAGGTCATGGAGGGTCATCAAGTGAGTATTGCGTACCGTGAACGTTTGGCGCCTGAGCGGCCTTCTATCTATGTTGAAATGTTCATTATTTTAACCTACGTACTTCTTTTAAATAGATAGTCGAGTGCTTGGAAACCTAGGCCTATACAATGTGTCGTTATAAATCTACACACGTTTTTTTGCGTTTTCTCAATAGAATCAATCTCGTTTGAATAGACTGGTTTTTTTTGGAGGAATATTTGAAGAATTTGCCAAGGTCCTAGTTTGTATTTTGAATAAATCACACAATAAAACTGATATTTCCTGTTTTTATATACTATTTGAAACATACGAGAAAGAATAAAAATGAATTTTGTCGGACTCAACTGTCTGTCCAGTGGATCATCCTCTTTTTTTTTTATTGTATTCTCGCCATGAAACGCGGGCGAAACTAACCAAAGTAGCTTTAAAAAAAGAACCGCGCACCGAGGGTCAAATCCTAGTACGATCAAATTTTATTTACGTGATCGTGTTTCTCAGCAAGCCATGCGCTTTTAGATTGGTCTTCTTGTTATAACACAGGCACTTCTAGGAGAATATTGAAGCCTCCAGGGAGTGATGGCTGCATCTGTCCAAATGTTAGACATTTGTGGGAGTGAAGAACTGTAATATGAAGGAAGCTAACATGTGTACGTGCATAAACCCAAAATATCGCTGCCAAAATCTGTGGTGTATGTAAGGTTTTAAGTAAATACTCCTATGAAGAAAAAGGTGCGCTACCAACTTAGAAAGGCGCACTTACCGCTTACTTCCTCTTATACATCCAAGTTCTCCTCAGTGTTATTTTTTGAATCGTCAATCTAGTTGCTGGCAATGAGAACATAGGCAAACATACAAAGCGATATGAATCGGAGTATTGGCTGAAGATGCTATGGCTTGTGCAACGGCATTTAAACGTCATGAGAGAGTTGAGAACGGCGACGGCATTTTTCGCAGCCAGCCTGCGGAAGTGGCCCATTCCTACATGGACTAGTGAAACCCGATCTCGTCTCCGGGGTGTGTCTCAAAAACATCTGCGGAATTATGACAACCAAACACTTCTTAGTCTCTGTCTTAAAAATGCGGAAGTTCGCCCATTTCCCACAAAACCTCTGGTTTGCAGATTTTGTGTTGAGTAAAATGTCTCACGCTAGTTGAGAAGTTTTCCGATGGAGTTATTCTAATGGAACAATCTTAAAATGCCGTGCTCGTGACTACCAAACTGTTTATTTGTGCTGCAGTGGCGCCGCCAGATTTTCGACATGCTCAAGTCGCTAGTTCTCATCATGGAAACTTGCTTTTGGTGCCACAATCCGTTTGGGCACCTTGACCTAGAAGTGGCTTTAACCCTCTTAAAAATCAATCTTGGTTAATTGTAAACTCACCAGGCCTGTGGCTTGCGGATGTTTGTTAGTGCAATGTTCAAACGGGTTTTGAACCTCGTCATTTGAAATTAAAAGAAACTCAGCTTACCCATTTTTCGCACAATATTGAAACTTGTGGCGTAGCTGTTAGAGGCGGTGTTTTCTATTCACACCTGTTCCAATAAATTGTGGAAGTAAAGGAGGTCCCGCGAGCTTGAATGGCCGTACTGCTCTCTGATTTCCCCCGTTTCCTTGTACCGCGTCAAATTCATGCGAGGTCACAGGTTGGCACTAATGTACCTTCAGTGTAGATAGGTATTTGGACGTTAGCCTTTCCCTTATAAACCTCAGTGTGTTTTAACGTAGAATCTCATTGTCGATAACTTGTACAGACCTGATGGTGTAGCTGGGGTAGAAATCATGTGATACTTTAGAATCGTGCGAATACTAAATGTGCTTACGAGTGCTAGAAGGCCGCCAGAATTTGCATGTTTGCGTTTATACTGGTTGGCTGCGAATACATGAAATATTAACCTTGAACACTCGAAGTAACGGCGCTCGTATTTTTAGTGAGACAAAGTACACTTTGAGGTTGTGTTCCATTCTGGGTAGACATTCGGCTGGATTTCACTTTATCTCCGCACCTGGCATGTGAATTATTTAGGCGACTAGAACACTTACCTAATACTGCTGCGAAAACATTGATTAATCATTGTTACAGGTTCATTTTTGCTGCTTTATTGCTAATTCCACTATTTACCTTCCGTAAATTGGCGGAATCTGTTTAATGAAACCGTCGCTGCCTCAGAATATAATAGCAAACTAAATCCTTACATATAATTGTTTTTCATAAACAAGTCGCTTTCGTGCGATATGACGTCTATGATAGCCTTGCGAATCAAAATATGCTCTAGGTTTTTGTATATTTTCTAAATTGGTGTTACATAATTCCTTCGATGAGAAGTGGCAGACAATTACGGCCTCAGTAATTATAGCAAATGAGGTCCTTTTGCGCCTGGATGCTGTTGTACGAATTTTGCTTACGCAGGATTGTGCCACTTTCGTAGAAGCCATATGCCCAGGCTCACTGGTGGTTAGAACAGCAGATTGTTAACTTGTGTGTTGTGAAAGCGTAACGATTTGTATCATTTCTAAAGGTGTGTTGAAAACCTTTGATTTAAACATTTTAAATATTCAGACATGTGAATAATGCTTCCTAAAGTCTCAAACTGATTTGCTAAAGCCTGTTACCATATTCAACAAGTTCGCTCACTAGTGAAGGGCGTTCAGAAGTGTAGATTCATTTTTTGTAATTCGTGTCACTTTATAAGATTACCAATGAAAAGGAATAGAAAATGTGTGTCGTGTTTGAGTTTAAATATTCAATTTGTGGTAAGCGAAATTGCCTGCAGTTGTCATGATTTTTAATTCCTGCAAGCCCGGTTTTGAGATTTTCGTTCTTACCATTTAAGGCACAGGTTGCGTCCTATTAACAGATGAAATTCAAGTTTACCCTTTTTTTATTTTTAGACCGGCCGTGGATTTTCAACGAACCCTATAATGAGCCAGATTCATATGGGATCTGCTGGGTCCCCCCATGAAATATATGTTTGTACTTTAAGCGGTTTTTTCGACAATAACTCTTTGAGGGTGCAATGCAGGCAGGGTCCTACCGAGGCGCTAGTCAGGTGAAAAAGCTTTATTCCTTATCTTTTGCGGAATGATTTACTTAACACATTTTCGCACAACTATTTTCAAGTGCCGTCTAATTCGATGCCGATCAAGTTGTTGGCTCACTTTGAATTGCTTTATGTTCAACAGTTTTCAGGTTCGACCAAAAAGGATGCTCGGTGTAATTGACGGCCTAGACCCAATCACTCTGATTTAATGTGACTTTAAAACATCTAGGCCGTGTTAGCGCAAGTGTGGTGCTGCTCGAGTCTGTTTCTAACTTTTGGGTTGTATTTCGAACATCATCAGTGCTGTCCATTAAACGCGCAAACAGGGCTGTTAACTTTAACGAGACCCAACATCTGTTATTTTAGTGAAAAATTATAATCTTAAAAATCTTCATCACAAACGACTAATCGTACTTAAATCTGTCTGGAATGATTAATACGTTTGTCTGGGATGGTTTTTTTTCTTTTGCTCTCCGTTGTTCGTTTTTAACAGACCGTGGTCTTTTCAGGGTCTTTAGCTGCTGCGAAAAGATTCGCAAATAGTGTTGATGATACCGGCGGCTCTAATTTTGCAGTTTGGCGTTCATGAGCTACGTATCTGAGATTAGGTGTAGACAAACTCAATTATAGTCTGCTCACGTGTTCAAAGGCACTGCTTTAAAACCTTGTAATGTACAAATGTGATTTAGTACAGGACAAAACTATTTTTACAACAGACCGTGGAGGATGCTTTCCTTGTCAATGCAGCTCGCAGGGCCTGCTTCAGTTACTCAACACCAAGGTGGAAAAGTCACGAATTGAGGTTAAAATTAAACTTAAGCCAGTCTTCTGGATAGGCATTACTGGCCCGATTTTCAGGAGCAGTCGTCAGCCAACAGCCTATCGATTCCGATTATATGTGTTGAAAACTAATCTAAACTGTGCAAATATGATATCTGTCAGGCCGCTAGATAAAGCGTAGGACAATATGCGGGCTCCCATAAACGGGACACTACTAATTGCCTAGATTTATAGGATGGCATGGTCGATTAAGCCAGGCTTATGTCAGCAACAGATTGCATTAGCTAGTTTTATACACATCATGGCGTCGTGCCCGTCGGCATTGTCGGTAACACTTTGATTTTGGACGGGAAGCAACTTTCCAATGCATAGCTGTGATTTTCGCAAGTCCCATTATTCAGTGGCGGTGGATCAAATGATGGGCAAAAGTAAAAAAAGAAAGATTGTGTTTAAGAAGTATTGTATAATCTAAGTTTAAGAGGAAATAATTCAAGTTTACATTCGTTCCATATTAATGAATTTACATGTCCACTAACCTACTTGGCTTTGAAGTGTTCTCAAGTAGGAAACAGTCGTAATTAAAAGACTACACTGGCACATTCATTTCCTTTAGGGGAGAAGATAACTTCTGAGGTTGGGACGTTAGGTACTTCATTAAAACCGGTAAATCTTGGCAATAGCCACTTAAAAATAGAAAGGAGTTAACGATGGTACACAATATTGGCAAAAACGGCAAAAGAACGATTACGGAGACCTTTGTCAAAGAAGTAATTTGTAAAATCCCTTTGGCTCACTCTCATTCTAATGTGTCTTTTAAAGTGGGTCTTGGTTGGCATAAAACTCGCTGAAATGTGCTTCGTCAATCTGAGAAATTTGCCACGCTTTCAACTCTGCTAGTTAACAGGCGGTAGAACAACTCGAGGGCAGAGGGAAAAGAGGCGACAACGGACACGACCCCTTACTAGCGCCAGACCAGCCATGTAGCTTTGTGTGCGAATGAGCGAGTGTACGTAACAGGCGACTAATAAAAGTAACCGATGAAATAGGGGTGATCCATTGACGCCATCAGATATGTAAATGAATTTGACTCGTGTGTAGTTGCTGCCGTTCTATTTCTGAATGCAACATAGCGCACGGTGGCCATAAGTCATGTCCTTTTTACAAATGCCGCGGGATTGTATTTGTCATGGCTGCTTTTTGATATATTGCAACTGCTGTCTGAATTCCGGTGCTTGCGGTTAAAACAGTTAAGCAAACCAAAGTTACAATCCTCCTTCAAATATTTCAAATCTCGTCACTTGTAGTGGATCGCGTTTATTCACGCCTATTAGCCGGATCGCCGCAGCCTCGCACGCACGCGCCCCCTTTTCACGGCATGCCCGTCAGTCACTGTTACCGCCTGCCCATTCACGCCTCTGTTTATACTACTACCACCCGCTCTAGCCATGTGACCATTCAGACGTCTGTATTTTTAATCGTCCACTCGACTGTATAAGTCAGCAAAACACATGAGTCATGCACTACCCCTAACGCGCACAAACGACAACACAATTGCGTTGAGCTATCTGGTAAACGGTTGCCCCTCGTCCTCTCAGGTCACCATCTTCGCAGACACTCAGGATAACGTACCCTGGGCAAGATTGACTCTGGTCCCGGCGTGGTTTAAGCCAACATGCTGGAGCCTCTCAACACTTTCAAAGGGATGCGCCAGCTGTCCATATTATCTATTGGAAAGATTCTGCTATAACCTTAGAGGGTTAGATAACGTGCTAGAAATAAAGTAACAGATGCCTATTTTGACGTGTAGAGGGTTTGTTTGACTTTTGTCTGGAATTTGGTAAGCTTTGAAATGTCGGCATGGGCTGGTTCCGTTCTGCTTGAGATCCGACAGAATGTAGCTTCTCCGTCCTGTAGCTGTAGCGGTAGCCTTCCGTTAGCAATGTCAATTTGATGACGAATCCTGAATGTGGGTTTTGAAAATATTCTCGCTCCCGTTCACGCATGTCATTTTTGACGTGAAGAGAAATGTATGCTAACGAAATTTTCGCAAGCACGCTTCCACCATTGTCATTGATTGGCTGTAGAATACACCACTCACTTTTTCTAGATGCGTGGTTTTAATTTTTGCCGTTGCCAATGAAAACAAACTAAGTAATCTAAGACAAACGCATAAAACTACATGCGCCAAACGATTATTTGGCATTTACTGCTCTTGGTGGACACAAAGACCACTTTATCAGTCGTTTTGCTTTATAACCACGGTCTCGTTTTTTTGGCTTACTTATTGCTTAGATTGTTACTAAGTTTGTCCCCGTTTAATGATTGGATTTTAATCACCGAGTGAATAAGGCGAGGCCATTGTTTTTTAAGGACACTTGTCATATGTAAGCCTTCGAGAACAGGAAGAGAAAGCATAATTTATAAGTTATTCCAAGACGGTTAAGTAGGAAAAGAAAAATACGAAGTGTTTGCCTTTATTTAGGTCATCTTAGCGGCCGCGTCAGTCAATGAACATTGAGCTGGACACTGGAATAGGACTTACTACATTGAAACCGCAAAAAAATGCTCGCGGTCATTTTATCAATTCATAATTCACAATGAGATTAGGGAGAATTGTTCGCGGTAGCAGCAAATGCTTTTGAAGCTTATATGTTTAAACTCCCTAAAACGGATAAATCTAGCTACGCTGAAGAATTTTTTATCTTTCCTCTGACAAATCCGTTAGTTGTTCAAAGGTTGCTACTTTTTAGCTGCCAAATTCGTTTGCCCAGCGTTGATGCTCTTTTTGTAAGTGAATTAGCTTCTGCGTGAGTGTCAGTACGTTCTTAGGTGCGGAGTTAGTTGTTAACTAATGACAACCCAGCAGGAACGTCTGCATGCACAGCACATATCAGAGACAATTGTGGATGCGTGCAGCCTCATTTGATGGGCAAATTAGTTGTGCTCAATTATGAAATCCAAGACAGTTTGATTTCATGAGCAAAATGCCATAGTCACTAATTGGGGCTGAAAATTTGCGGATATGAATCAACTGCCCTGTTGTTGCCGTTGTCCAGCGATGGTGTTTCTGTTGACCAGAAGCCATGTGCGTTTCGTAGCTGGCATTCAAATTCTACCAGATGCCACCAAAATGTACCACGAGTTAACTTCTACTGTGTTGAAAATAAAACCCACAGAGTTGTTCATTGCTGCTGTAGTTAGTTTACACATTGGTAAGTGCCTGCAGTAATCACAGTGACGAGTCCCAAGGAAAGGAGGCGTTGATTTCTTGAGCGAATACAGTCATTACCTTTCCTGGTGCTTTCTAAAGAGGCCGTGTTTGATTAGACGATGCCATTGCAGAAGCTTCTGCTCCGGATAGTGATGTAAAAAAGTAATAGTTATCAGGCGTTATTGATGGCAAATCAGCTCGGGCCAGACCGTGGATAGCATCGACCGATACGGTGTCTATTTCTGTTTAATTGAACATTGCTTGATTCATGTTTGCTGCTGACATGAGACAGCACATGCAATTTCAACTCGTTTCTCGGTGTCTGAGTGAGTCATACGTTGGGAGCAGCCTCGGATTTGTTCGTGAAGGGTGTCCCAGTTGTCATGACACAGGAATGTCGCTAGCACAACTGCACCGGCAAGTCAACACAGGCGTCATCACGTGGGTCTGGCTGACGAAGGGATTGTCAATTGGTGGAGGGTGGGGGCACAACGGCAGACTTGTGAGGTCAGCAAGGAAGCACTCTACTGGGGTTGATTGAGCACAGTTTTGGGCCACACGGAGGCGCATCGAGACATGACGACTTTCGATGAAATGGCTGGAAGCAGCATGACCAACTGTAAATAGACGGCTCGAGAAGGACAAAGTACCCCCCAACCCTGATCAATGTGCACGGTGCTGCGCTGAGCCAATGGAAAGTTGCTGGCCTCCGAGCCATGCGCACTTCGGCGTTAGCGAGGGCAGGAGCAGTCGTGGAGTAGCTTGGGTGTCATGTGTTGCAACTTGAACATAAAATACCTGCCAGGTTTGCGACTACGACGATGATGATAGCGACGACCCCTGGTCTCTTGGTCTTTTCTCAGCCTAGTGGATCAGCCTGCCAATTGGCGAAGACCCACTTGCAGTGGCCTCGCATGTAACATTGTTTGAAGAAATGATCATTTGTCACGATGTCTACCTAAAGGCATGAGTTGTGGGTCACTTGACTGTCGTGCATGTACAGATTCAAGCTCCGGGGCTGAAGTGAATGGCTTCAAGCGGCGTAGTGGCTGTTGCAGGTGGGGTTCATTGTGTAGAAAATGTGTAACGGAGATGAGGCCTATTAAACTGCTGAAGGAACATCCAGCATTGTTGTTCTACCCAACACAAGTGTGCTTTTCTGCAGTTTTTTACATGTTTTTGTAACTCATTTCGGAAATTGCAATGGCTCTATCATTTTTTATTTGCACTGAATTTGAGTGTTTGTTTTATTAGTTCTCAAACCGCACCGGTGTCGTACGACCCACGTTGACACGGCCCTTCCAGGAAGGAGGAAGTATGCGGTAAGAAAGCGGAGCTCGACCAATTTACTGCGTGGTTGGTTCAGCGTGATAGTTTTATAAAGGAGTGCCTGACATTGATGTCTGAATCAACATTGCTACGCGAAGTGCATATTTGACTAAAAGTCGTGCTATTCTAAACGTGGTAACAAAGCTTGCGCGCTGATCCGCAATTATCGTTGATCTCAAAAAGGTGAACACTTTAAGATTTACTACTCTCAACGATAATTACTTAAAGTGATTGTTTGAAATACATTGGGCACAAGCATATGCATCGTTTGTTGTAAATGGTTATTTTGGTAAATTTGAGTGCTCCCATCATAAGAAAACACGGGAAAGATAACTCCTCATAGATGCTTTTATCATAAAAATATATCTATCGCCTGCTATTGGATGGTCAGTTTATTGGATAGTAAGTATCAGGGGAAGTAGGCGTGGCATTAAATAAAAGCGTAAGTTGTTCAGGTTAGTTTTAAAGAATTTCCACACGAGTACGTGTGTCCCTTGAAGTCATTCCAACATTGGTGGCAGAGGTGGCCCTGATTTCGCTCCGGTTCATTTCTAATTTGTCCATCGTTTGTTTTTGTGCACTGCCACAGCAACAGAAGTCTCGTAGTCGGTTAAAAATTACCAGAACCTCGGCTCTAAAAGGTGGTCCACTGAGACAGTAGAGGAGGAAATGAATGGCGAAATTTGTGTACCACAGAGTGTAAACAAGACGTTCTATGGCAAACAACATGCCTCCTCGAACGTCTTCATCTTCCTCTGCCCAGGCCCTAACATCAACTGAGAAAAAAACCACGTCATAAATCAGCAAAGGCGTCACGGAGACAATGAAGAAAATGTTTGTAGAGACAAGCATGCGGGTTAGGTTAGTCGACTTCTCGCGCTTATCACTGCCGCCTTGGTTGTTATTACTTGTCGAAGTTGCGGCAACTCCCGAGCGAAACTTTCGCATCACTCTTAGTTTCCAGCCGATAAGGCAGTTAGCGATTAGCATTATTGCGCAAGGGAGAACCGCCACAAACAGTAGGTCCAAAAATGGAAAAACTTTGTCAGCAAAGTATGTTGTGGAACACGACCAATAGCTTGGTTGCACCTCAATGTAACGCATTGTTACAAAGAAGTGGGTGTCTAGAAGTGTAAAGACTGACACAATAGTCACGACTACAAACTTCGCCGTTCGTTTTGTGCAGATATTTCGAGCTTGAAAAGGCAAAACAACCCAGATGGCACGTTCCACAGTGACAGCTACCAGCAACCAGACGCTGATGTATGCCAGGGTGTAGTGGAGGAAAGGCGTGAGCACACAAAAGGTGTTGGAGATTTGGCGCACCTCTGAGGGGAAGAAGAATATGAAGTTGGCAATAGAAGCGACGAGGCTGGTTAGGAGGTAAAGTACATCGGTGATGGCGAGAACGGTGAGGTAGAAGGATGTGCTGGATTGTTGTAAGCGTTTGGCGCGCAAGACAAAGACGGTTAGGGCATTACCGAAGAGCCCAAAAAACAGAAGAATGCTCCAGACAGGGATGCAAGCGTACCGAATTCCCGAGACAAGGGGTGGGGTCACGAACGTCGTGACATTTGTCGAACCGGCATTGTTTAGTTGTGTTGCGACAACTGAGGAGGTTTCCTTTTTGAGATTTGTCAAGTTCACCGAGTTAGACATTTGCTGGCCCCTTACAAGGCTGCGGCCTAAAAGGTTAAGCACTGAGTAAAAAGATAGGGGGAATTAACAAAAAAAAGAGGTAAACAGAAGTCATTCACTACTTTCTGTAAAATATGTTTATCTTGTTTCAGTTTTAAAACGCATGTGTCTGGGTTGTCCTGGAGTAGAGTACGGGGCAAGGAGCATCCGGCAGCAAATGTTGCACCGAAAAGTTATAACTTTGCAATCGAGTTCTTGTTTTAACATGTTCGTTTAATCTATGCGGGTAAAATACCAGAAAATGCAAGTTTTTAGGTACAACAGCTTAAAGAACTTCCAGTATATCACCAAAAATTAGCACATTGCAGTAGCAAGTTTAAAATCGGTTCTTGTCATTAACCACTTTCCCATAGACAAGCGAACTCAAAAATCATGTGATAATTACAAATCTAGAAAAGTATGTTTTTCACCCACCTTCATTGATATGCTCGTTTCTTGAACCAGTTCTTAACAAAAGTAGCAAAATGTTGTCGTTGGTAGTTTTAATGGTTAAGTGATTTTGTGGAATTTCTTAAAGTGTGATTTATGGAGTGTTTAAAAGTATGCGTTTACTTGACCTATACTGGTTAAACCAATTAAACCAGCCTACTTTCCTTAATCAAAACGGCTTTTTATTGCCAAACATCCGCAACTCTAGATCAAGTAACATTTTGCAGGGGTCAGTACAAAAAAATAGTGACCATTAAATTTAGGCCTTTTCTTAATATACTTTTAAATTTCAATCTTAATTAAATAATTCCTTTCACTAATACAGAGAATTAAATGACAAGTTTGAAATTAATTGTGCTTAATAGTAGCATTGTATAATAAGCTTACATTTTTTACACAACCTATGACTGGGATGTCACATAAGTGAAGCCTGGAAGATGAATGGACTAGAATGAAATCACTTGCCAGTTTTTTTTAAAATTAAAGCATTGGCCAACTACTCCATTTAAAAATGAGGCTCCTAGCCTTTTTTCAAGTGCTGACGACCAATGAAATATCAGACCTTCACTGGTGATTTATGTCATACTCAAAACCTTTATGAGTGACTTTCTCATAGATTAATTAAAAGCTTCTTTGATCAAATCCTCGATTGCATTAACTATATGTGGGTATTCAGCAGTCCTGTTTAAGTGCTTGTGAGTCTGAATGCGATTGCATTGCAGTAATTCGAAAACCGAAGTCCATCAGCATTTTCGTCGTGTAACAGCATGAAATATTCCGTGCCTGCCTTGTAATTTGCCCCGTGATTTTAAAATCTGACCGAATAATTTAGTTTCAAACTAAGTATCAACTAAATGATTTATGCTAGAGAAAGCCTTGTTAAACTTTTCAGAGTATTTTATTGTAAAATTTGTGAGAATGTTATTGTAGCTATTTTTGTATAGATGTTTGACTCTACATTTACTGCGGATAATCAGAGAGGGGATGTTAATGCTAATTGATATTTCTGATGACATCTCTTTTAACGACATTGGTCGTTTTTTAAATACGGAATGCAAATTCCCTCCTTGGCGAAATAAATTTTCGTCCTTTAGTATCCGTTTGTAGTTAAAGTCCATCTGGATGTAATTAAGGAGGCGATTTTGTGCAATTGGCTCCATATGCCCTGAGTTTTTGAAAGACAAATCGGAGCTTTGGTTTTTATTGTTCACAATTAGATAAATAACAGAACCGTTTCAGACAAAACCTGCTCCATCACATCTACAGACAGTGGTGTAATTAGCCCCATCAATTTTCTCGATGAACTTGATGACTGTCTATAAAAAGACCTTTGTCGCTTTTTAGGCTTTAATTTGGTCGATACTATTTCTCCCGCTAAATATTCAACAATTACAGAAATCGTCCAAATCTTATAACAGTTTTTAAATTCCCAACACTTCTTTGAATTCTATCAACCTGGATTAAATTAAGTTCGCAGTTTCACACATGCGGAAATGATCTTTCGCTTACTTAATTCCAATTTTTCGGCACTTAATGTTGCTCTGCATTTTTCAGGCGAACTCTATTATCTCAATGCATTTAGATCCCTATAAACAATCACATTAACGGTAAATCAGTTTAAATCATGCTAGGTATTACCGCAAGCTAGTACCAGACGATTAATGCATGCATATGCATTTTCTTGCTGTGACAAATAACTAATTTCGAACCTAACTGGAGTCCCACATGATCTTAATATCTTGAATAATAGAAATTGCTCCCGCTGAAGTAGGTATGTTTAACTTTAATACATCTGTCATTATCATGACTAGCAGAATAGACGGAAAAATGATGGTTTAAATTTTGGTCTATTTTTCATATATTTATAATTCTCCACTTTAATGACATTGAAGAGGGTGAGTAGTTTATAATTTTATGTAAAGCCTTGATTACAGGACATTTTAAACAAAATCATTAGATATCAGTTGAAGGCAAACTTCTCAAAAGGCAACTGCAAGTCAATACATCTTAATTCTGTAAATGTTTTATTCAAGAACAAATAATCATTGGAATCTAGTAATTTCGTTTGTGCAAAATATTTACGAGAGTTTGCAATCTGCGCTTGATCACTAACATAATATCAATTACACATGCTCTAAATGGAATTCTTAAACAAATGGATGGTCTCATTAGCATTTGCACAGACGTTCAAAAACAATTTTAACAGCAAAAGATTTCTATGCATCCTCTAAAATTTTATTATGGTGCTAAAACTAAAAGCAAAGTTCGCTTGTTTACATACTAAGCTTTTAGCTAAACTTTAAGTTAAGATGTTTGCAATCATCGGCTTGTCAGACGAAGTTTGGAATCGTGCTGGTTGTTATGGGCGTTTTCTACCAAAGTTGGTTTAAAAAGGCTGCCATGATTATCAACCTTTAGTTGCTTCAAAATTTAGTTAAAATGTAAAAATTAAACAAAACAAAAACTGAATAATCAAGTAGGAAATGAGATTGAATGAAGATATTAAAAAATTGGACTTATTGGTCACATGAAATTCCCTAAAAGCAGAAACATTTAGAATATTTTACAAAGGAATTACTCATTAACAGTACATTGCACGTAGGATCTCATCAACTATGAGTCATTTGCATATTTCTCGATGTGCACTAGAAGGGAACCTATTACAAGATTTTGCCTCCGACACATCAGTTTTTATCCAGGAGTAAATTATCAGAAAATATTGTTGTACTACCTAAACAATTACCGCATTCTAAAAAACAAAACTTTATTTATTCAACGTCTTGTGTACTTGTGTGAAAGCGAAACATGATTGATGCATTTCCGAGATAAGGCCCTCAATACGGATTTACAATTTTCGTTTGGAACGCCGCTGTTCACGTTGACCAGGTTCTCGCACAACATGCTATGTACGAGCTTTAAACTTGGCAGTTCTCCGGTCACCAGCGTTCATCGCATGCATTTCAACGGTGCAGTGGCATCGCTGCCACCTCTGAATGTCATCAACCTACTTGCTGTGTGGTGACAGTAACTGCACACACGTAGCAAGCCAGTGAACGCAACTGCATTTCAGTCAGTGTTTAAATATGCGCGATTCTCATCAAATGAAATCGACCAAAGAACTCTATTGTGCAATATAACCTAACTCAGCTTCTTAATACCACCGTAGAAAAAACTGTGCGTCTGTATCTTGTTGAACCCTACGTGATTCTACGACAGTTACTATCAACCAGATTTATCTCATTCAGACAACGAGAGGTCGAAAACATGTACTTTTAATTAAATAAAATTGCTGCAGAAAATTGTATTCTTCTTTTTCTCGGCTTTCTTATGCAACAATTGTAAGTGATATTTAGTAAATTAAATAGCTAAAAAGGGGCATGACAATATCTAGTATTTTGCACGAGAGAATGAGCACAGAGAGGCAGTGGCAGGACCTGAGCATGGGCAACCTGCAAACCTTGTCTACTGCGAGCACATACTCCTTTGCCAAGTGTGAATACTTGTAAGAACACAAGCCGTGTCTTAAGCATTACCATTGATTTTGTAGGAGGCCATGGCCTACCTGTGGTGTCAAGAGCGAATCTCTCTTCATCGCACTTGAGACCCATCAAAATGCCCTGTGGCAGTGTTGATGGTCCCCTTATCAAATAAGCGACAGCTCCGGCCATAAAACAACTTGGAATCATTGGGGAATCGGTTAAATAAGCTTGCGCAAACTTGCTCCATAGTTACCCCTAAAATGGCAACCAAGTCACTGTTTAGAGTTAGATGCTCACTGCCTCATTAGCGTGCATCCATTAGGTGGTGTTGGTCGGATCAAGACAGGAGATGGATCGGGCAAATTGTGTTAGGTCGTGCGTGATCAATGCAGTTTTAATGAACCAGTAAAAGTACGAGTCACTGGATGGCCAAATGAGTGGGATGAGTAGTGTGCGAGGGGCTTGCACGGGAGTGAATGATTGATGCTGACGCCGTGAAGTGAGAGGCGACGAGTCTGGGTATGCAACGACCGGGATAAACGACGTAAGTCTACACTATTCACTGCAGGATTCCTGTGTTTCAAAATATCTTTGGTTGCGTGATGACACGAAGTCAGAACCACATGGAGAATGCACTAAAACCGCCCAGTCAGATTGTAGTAATTCTCTTCGAGTAGCCATAGCAGCATATGGCGCAGCGTCGTTCGATTGGAAACTACTGCCCTTTTACTTGCCAACTTTGGCTTCCTTCTTCACAGCTCATCATTTTCCTGCTTATTGTGTACGCTTATTCGTGAAATCACTGATCCAGTTCGGCACCGATAACTCCTACTCGGTGACATCTATTCACTCAGGTAAACTGAACAAGTCTACTACTTTGAATTGAGGCCTTTCTCCCTCATCGCCTATGCCAACTCACTTTGTTCTTACCTTACACTTCTTTCACTAACTTTGCTGATGAGAACCACCTTATCGTGGTGGAGGTCGATAAGTTTGAAAGAGACATGTTTAGCTACAAACAAGCAAATAAGTCCACGTAGACATGTAGTCCGC